ATCCACACTACAGACTCACTACACAGTCACTACAGACACATCTTATCCACACTACAGACTCACTACACAGTCACTAAAGACACTACATCCAAACTACACACTCATTACAAACACACCCCATCCACACTACACACACATTACATCCACGCTAAAGACACACTACAAACTCCTTATAGACACACTACATCCACACTACATCCACACAACACACACAACACACACACTACACACACACTACGGATTCATTACACACTCACTACACACACACTACAGACACACCACGCACATGTACATTATTTCAGCTGCTATTGGAATGTTAATTTATCCAGTCAGTAAAACTGAACTACACAGATGAGTGAACTAAGGTGACAAGCTTCTTATCATATAAACAAGACTTTGAGCCTTTAAAAAAAAAAGCAGCATTCTGGTATTGTATGTATATATAAACACACACACACACACACAGTCATAATGTATGTTACTGTATGCACTAGTTTTAACGGTGAGCACGATTTTCCTCATTATAGCGACTTGCACACTCAACACTACTCACCGAGCGTATTGACACTTAAATGGACACACGATGAAATAAATACCAAGGTGCCAGACGGCCATCACAGAGTCACGGTGGCGTCAGAGGAACACTATATAAAAATGTGACAGGCTGCCATTGTGTCACTTTGCATCAACACATTCAGGCATTTGACGTGAGCGTCTTGTTTTCTTTTTCTCTTTTGCAGCTGTTGGGCATGGCCCTAGTTGGAATTGGACTGTGGGCATGGAGTGAGAAGGTGAGTAGAGTTATTATTGAGAAATATACTTATGGTGTTGTGACAGCTTTTATATTTTATAAATAAAACTTCTTGTGAATTGTCCTTGTCAGATTTTTACTAAATGCCAGTATGATTGTTATTGTCCTCGTTTAATGCTCGTTTTTTTAAAATGTTGTGCCAGTACTCATTCCCATTAAAGCTGCACTAATCTATATTTTACATTAATAATGGATCATGTAATTTTGTACGATTTTAAAGGTGTTACTATGAAACCTCAGAGAATCATCTCCCTCTCTTCAGTTCTGCCCTGGACCTACAGAGTATTTTACTTTCTTTTGACTAAATGGACTAAATTCACCATTCACTCATTTGCATAGTAGTTAAACAAATCGTTCAAATAACCAGATTAAGTTTGAAACTAGGTTCAAACTTTGCAACCTGTGTGTTTTACCAAATCATTGTTAATTCAATGCATGTAGACGGAAGCGAACCCTTTGATTCAAGACATCTCACTGAAGCAGTTTATTTCGCAGTTCACTAAATACATTTTCGCAGCAGCATTGTTTCTCCTCTTGAGTTCATCCGAGTTGCATCCTGTTAATGTCACTACGACCCTGCAAACATGAGCTCTCCCGAAAGAGACGCAGCTGCCTGACTCACACTGCGCGTTGCGGCTCTGTGTCCTCGCTCCAGGGGGTCCTGTCCAACATCTCATCCATCACAGACCTCGGCGGTCTGGACCCAGTCTGGCTCTTTATGGTGGTGGGGGCCGTCATGTTCATTCTGGGGTTTGCCGGATGCATCGGAGCGCTGCGAGAAAACACCTTCCTGCTCAAGTTTGTATGTTCCATGATAAAAAAAAAAAAATCCTCCAATCTGCATGCAGAGATGAAATATCCCAGAATGCAACTCTCTGCAAATGTGAATTTGTCATCTTGTCTTTTTCCCCTCCTCCTCTTGTCGTAGTTCTCTGTGTTTCTCGGAATCATCTTTTTCTTGGAGCTGACGACAGGAGTCCTGGCGTTTGTCTTTAAGGACTGGATTAAAGACCAGCTCAACCTGTTCATCAACAATAACATCCGGGCGTATCGGGACGACATCGATCTCCAGAACCTCATCGATTTCACTCAGGAATACGTAAGACGTGTTGGACTGTTTGACGGCAAAGTTCTTGAAACATTAGCAGTCTAATGATTCGATTTCTGCCAAGTGGTTTAAAGCTCTAGACTTTTATTGTTGAGCAACTAGATACTTTCAACTCTGCTGCGGGGATGTGATGCACATTCAGCACTATCGACATGTGTGTTTATGGATTTTTTATAAGTGCAAAACATTTTTATTGGATGTCAAAGCTTTTGGTTATACCAGACGTTCATCTACAGATACAGCACCATGTGATAATATGTTAAATATTAACCCGATTTAATTAAGTCATATAAGACATTTTGTGTCTGCGTTTGTTTGTTCATATGAAAACTTTCCTTTTACAGAATAAACGATGCAGAAAAGCATTTACGTAGAAATTCAAATTCTACACATCTATAAACGTTGTGTTTTCAGACAATATATCGGTTGTGGAAATTCTAACTTCCAAAGATTGTCTCGACCTCCAAAAATCCAAACTGCCCGGACAAGTTATCACCACACAGCATCATTACTGAATGAATTTCAAATTTTAAGTCCGTTAGCTCCCGACATCTTGAACTTGGCTGTGAAACACTGATGTGCAGCCAGAAGAACAAAACCCACTGGGGATATAATTAACGTGAGATATTGACGATCTCATTTAAAATGACCACAAGCTAGAAACAAACCTTCAGTACAAACAATATGACGTAGTTACAACACTCTTACATCCTTATCTCTGCCTCTGTGCCTTTAGGTAAGTCTATGAATAAAAATAGCATTTGATTACAACTTAAGTTTTGGTTTGGTTTTTCTAGACCTCCTCAATGGATCAAGCGAATCGGGTCATGAGGCCAATCAGGTCCACCTAGTCTAAAACTGCCAAATGGTCTCTTCTCATTTCGGTCAACAAATTCAACAGCGTTTTAATTCGAGCCACAGGAGCGTTCGTCACTTTCCTCATTCTCTCCTCTCTGTCTGACTTCAGTGGGAGTGCTGTGGTGCGTTCGGAGCAGATGACTGGAACCTGAACATCTATTTCAACTGCACTGATGTGAATCCCAGCAGGGAGAAGTGCGGAGTTCCTTTCTCCTGCTGCACCAAGGACCCGGCGGTACGAGTCCCCCCCGACACTGCACGCATTTACACGTTTATTATAAGAACTTATACTGTATGTAAGTTCTATATGCCACGGTGGCGGTTCACAGAGTTGTAACATATTTAACTGATGTTTCCAGAAACGTTGGAGGCCATGGAAGTTTATCTTTTGTTGGATGGAAACTGGATATATTTTCATTTTAGTCATATTTCTAAATAATTTTGAGACAACAATGCAACAATCTTTGCCCTTTGACCTTTTACGTTAGCCTTCCTGCATTCCATTGCGTTATTACACATTAATATTAGGAGTCCATGTTGCCGTTACCTAGCAGCAGTGTTGGACATGTTAGCATACTTACTATATAGCTTTTGGCACAGCTGTACAGCCTCACAGAGCTGCTATCATGGCTGCACACGTCCTGCTCTTCCTCAATTCTCCCCCAAACGTTGCACATTTTTAACGGATGCTTATTTCAAAATGCTGCTTTTATTTTTTACGATACTATAAAGTTGACTCTTTGTCTACAGGAGGATGTGATCAACACTCAGTGTGGATACGACATTCGAGCTAAACCAGTAAGTGACAAATGTGCCCTACTATATCCATCTCTTTGGTTGTTTCTTTTTTCTATGATTAAGGGACAGTTCACCCAAAAATGAAAATTCACTTTTTATTTTCTTACCACTAAGCCGATTAAGTTATCTTTACTAATCCTGTGGTGTTTTCCAAGTGTCCTTAAGACCAGACATTCAAATTCGACCCGAAAAGGCATCATTTACATCATGTTTTTAGCCTAAATGTCCTGTTATCATCCAAGTTACTGCTAGCTGCGGTTACTGCTTGGACATTAAGGCTAAAAACATGAAATGACCTGCCATACACCTGCCACATACCAAACACACCACACCACCATCATTGTTCATTCATTCAAACTTTACATTTAATAATTATAACTTAGTATAATTAATTTATTCCAACATGAATATTAGCAACTGGCGCTCTGCTTGGCGCTTGATACCACATACACCAAATCATGATGAAAACATTAAGACATTCTCATTAAACCCAATTGGTTTTCATGGAAAGTTTGACTTAAAACAGTAGTAGGTTCTTTCTCCTCAGTGACTAGCGACAGGCTGATTAAGACGTGTGCTTTGATTCCAACACTAATTACTCGACAAAGGATGTCTCCCTTAGGCTTCTTTTTTCCACCATGGAAAGATTACAAGTAAAAAAGAATCTACTTTGCCTCTGTGCGTTCAGAAGATTGTTTTAAACGCACAAAAAATTGAGTTTTTGAAGATGCTGAAAGGTAGTTCTGTTTGTGCAGGACTTGGAGCAGAAGGACTACATCAATGTAAAAGGCTGTGTGCCGCAGTTCGAGAAGTGGCTGCAGGACAACCTCACGTTAGTGGCGGGGATCTTCATCGGAGTCGCACTACTGCAGGCAAGTCCCATTCACCTCTCATGGTGCTCCAGAAACACTGGACACAAAAGCATCATTCCATAATTTCTCGATGAAAACGTGTAACGTCGCCATTAAATGCTTTTCCCGTTTTTTTCTTTCATCCGCAGATTTTTGGGATTTGTTTGGCCCAGAACTTAGTGAGTGACATCGAGGCTGTGAGGGCAAGCTGGTGAGAAAACGATCAATACTTTGACCTCAGTTCTGTCTCATGTGTCTCCATTCTTTTAAAAACACCTCCCTTGATGTGCACCCATTTGTTTTTAATGTTGGCATTTCACAATATCAGCTGAGAGTGTAGCTCTGGCCTTTGTTGTGGATGCAGTGGTTAGGGGATATTTTACACAGGTAAGTATGTATGAGAGGAAACGATGAGAGCAAAGTGTCTTAATCATACACATCAAAATTAGGTTGAATTGCATTAGTCAGGTGTAATCATTGCAAAAGTGTTTAAAAAAACTGAAAGTCACTAGTGTGGATGTAGCTTAATGCTCTTGACCATATAATAATGATAATTAATGTTGATGCGTAATGAATAACTGGATTGGATTACTACATCTTATTCCAACAGGCTGATTTTGTGGTAATGCATAAATAAACAATTACATAAATAAATTAATAGAAATGCAGCATTTCTGCACTTACATATAAGCTAAACATATACACACTAAAGATAAATACTAGATAAAACTCACTCACACTTAATTTGTGTACGATGACAACTAGAAAAAAAAGAAGCTATGACATTGAGACCTTCTGAACGTGTCTGCCTGCACAAGAAGTTTAGCTGGATTCAGAGGAAGGGTTTCTGAGCTTTACCATCACGATGCCAAATCTCACCTCACACCTCATTCTTCCTCCTCCATGCTTCGTCAGGGTGCCCCCCCCTCTCTCCATGCGTCGACCCCCACCACACTCCAGCAAGAAAGCATCGGCTTACTACTCATGAGACACACACACACGTGCTGTATGTGTGGTTGTAGCCGGTGGGTGTGATGGATTCATTCGGTGATGTGCTTTGTCTTGAGCGTTGCTGTGATTGGGTGGATGACCTGTGTTTGCTTTTGATTTGTGTCCCATGGAGCTGTATTCAATCGCCCCTTAAAGGTTCAGTGTTTAGAATTTAGTGACACCTAGTGGTGAAGTTTCACGTGGCAGTTAAATATCCCTCACCTTACCGATACTAATTGGCATTTAAAAAACTAAAATGATGATTTGATATATTATTGATCATAAGTAACAGTCAAATATTTGATTCCCTGTACAAATAAATGTCAAATTCTACCTCACAAATTATTCCAACTTTAAAATTTACAGCATTTACAACAACCAGACCAAATAAAGTAGCCACTTGATGAAACATGGCAACGTTAGCATTGTAGCTGAGGTAGCGCAGCGCATTGCGATGCTCCTGAGAGTTCGGGAGAAGATAAAATGCCTCAGACCGACGCAGCACCAGTCTGCCGTAATCTGAATACAAGACGGTGCAGAACATTATTGCTTTGTTGCTCAGGCTCATGGAGGTTTGTTTGCCTCCAGAAGAAACTTGTCAGACCTCGTGGTTCCAGTCAATTTGCTGAAATGTTAAATGTGTTAAATTTGCATACATTAAATCACTGCCAGTCTGGACCTTGGGGAAATTCAGATTAAAATGCCATTAGCTTAGCCCTGAGGCCTGAAATCTCATTTCCAGTGTGACTGCATGACAGTGGTTTCCCCCACCTCTTCCTACTTAGCTACATAGTAAGGCTGGTTTGAATGAATAAGGCTCAGTCATGTGACGTAGACAACAATCCTTTCTTTCTCCATTGCCTCCTCTTCCACTGCCCGTGTCTAACCGAAGACGTTTGCACTGTTTCAGTCTTTTCTCTGCCACGACCTTTAATCCCAAACCGTCTCTCTTTAGATCACACTGCTCGTCCTCTGCAGAAAACTCTTCTCTAAGCGTTCCCAGCATAACCCTTTAAGTCACCACTCCCCGCTTTCTGCCTCCGCCCGTAACTTTTATCTTAAAACCGAACTGTTAAACCTCAGGAGTGTTGGAGCCGCGTCAATGACGTTCACCTCTCTATCTCCTCTTTTGCAGTTTCTTTACCTAATGCGGAAACGGCATTTCAACCTCTAACAGGTAACCCTCGACTTCCAATGAAATACAATCTTATGAAGGAATTTAATGCTGTGTTGTACAGAATTACCCGAAAAGAGTTGTCGTTCACTGAATTTTGTCTTCTCCTTTTGCCAGTCTTTGACACACCTCCTTGAACAGAGCGTCAGGGAGCGTTCAGAGGACGTCACCGATCACCTGCACCACTTTGCTCACTGAACCAGCACCTTTTGCAAGGCACTAATATGTGAGAGTCTGCTCTGTATATAACACTGTGTGTGACTACTGTAAACAGATAACTGTGTGGTTAAACATGCACTACATGCAGATCATCACAACGCTCCAGTTTTGATAGCTACTGTTAGTGTAGAGACTAGAGGTTTTGATACATCTTTTTGATATTAGATCAGTATTTTTCACTGTGGAAATATGGTTCCATCGCTAAACCCATCTGAATTAGTGTATAAAAGTTCAAAGTTCAGCGCTCGGCTTACCTAGCTTTACTACTTTTCCACGACATAATGCACAGGAGGGGGAAAGTGTCTAAAGTTACAAAACATTGTCCGGTTCCTGTTTTATTTCTCGAAAATAATTATTTGAGGATCCTCCAACCTCGAAGGAAAACCACAATAGTTCAATGACAGAGAAGAATTTACACTATATGCTGTATTTATCCAATACGGAAGATAAACAATGACAAACTGAGTGTACGTGTCAGAGCAGAATCAGATTTCAGTTACTCAAAGGAAGTAACATCTCATTATAAGAGCTAAACACATTTAGAAATGATATAATAAACTTAATTTGTATAGCGTTTTTCAAAACACAGTTGCAAAGGGTTTGACAATGAGCGAGACTCAGTTCAGTGGCTGGCTCCTTCAGAGGACGCGGTCTACGCAACCCACAAAGGCCGAACCGAAGTAAATCTGGTCTACAGAGGATTTTTCAGAATTGGCTTCAATGAATTGAGGGACGGCAATTTCCACCTTTCCTTTGTCTGAGTACGGCCCAGCGTTTCCTGAAGGAGATATGTTAGGAAGCATCGAAGCTCCTTTCCTCAGCATTCAGAGAATTGGAGCAGCTCTTTTCTTAACACTGTTCTAAGAAAAAGTAAAGTAGTCAGGTGCAGCCCTGAGACTCTCTGAGCCCTGAGACACCGTCTCTTCTCATCTATTCACTAACATGGAATTTTTATTTTGTGCTCGGCGACTGTCCATCCGCAGTGAGGACATTAGTGCGTTCAGTCCCGATGACGACTTTGAGCTAAAAATTCTCCACATTCTAACTCGTCCTCGTAAACAGGAAATGACCATGAGGTACTTCCAACTAATTGGCATAATGAGTTCATGCTCAACCAGTGGACTAACAGGAAACTCAGTTCATTACATGATGGAGTTTTCTTTTTACGAAATAAACATTTTAATGACCGCTATGTAGCACCAACATGGTGGGCGTTACTGTGGTACAACTTCAAGGATCAATGTTCCCGTCACACTAAGTATTGAAAACTGTCAAATAAATATCTGGCCTCAGATGTATTCTCGTTTGACGCCATTTTATCATAAAAGGTTCTTGTTAAAGAAAACGCTGGCTTCTAAAGTTTAAAAAAAAAAAGAGATTTGGACCTGGCTACAATCCACATGCACGTCGATAGATGGTGTACTCATTCCCAACCTTTAAATAACCACCACCAGCCTTTAAACTAACTGTACATTCCAGAGTTCATCTGCCGCGAGGCTTCCACAGTCTTGAGTTTTCCAGTCCAGTTGCGTTGCGGTGTTAATCGCAGGCAGCTGCCACCAGGACGTAGCCTGCTGCTGCGGCTCAGGAGAATTTCACACGGAAGAGAAAAAAACAAACAAACCGCAACACAGATTGAGACAAACTCAGACTGTCACGAAGCCCTACCCTCAGCTCGCTCTCACATGGAACAAGAAGGATTTTTTTTTTTTTTAACATTGCAGTAATTATTTCAAGGCCGGTGTGGAGAGCGGTTATGATGTCAGCAACAAGTCTCTGAACATGCGTGCACCATGTTGTAATATACTACCATTAAATGGGGAAAAAAACTAATGTTTAAATGGCATTGAAAAGCTTTGGTGTTGGTGTATGGCATCGGAATTCAGATACTGTATCGGTGCTTGTGTTGAAAAGTCCTACTATTATAGAACAATGCAACAGACCTGAAGGTTTGACAAATGACCCTTAATTCCCATCTTTAATAAAAATGTTTAAGTCCAGATAAACAAGTGACTACAAATGTAATGTTGTCATTTCATATGATTATTACTTTTTTTTAATGTGGTTTCATGTAAGTTGGGGGAAACAGTCATGAATTGTTGTGTTTAAGGACTTTTTAATATTGTGAGATGGGCTTTTTTTTACTTTCCTCATACGTCACTGCACTTACTTGAATGAGAACAAGTCTGGCACGTGTGTCCCATGATTGTCTTTCACTGTGTTTGCTACTGATTCAGAGCTGAGACTAGAATCCAGCCCTAGAATTTCAAAAAGAGTTAACATGTTCTTTTTAAATCACTGTTTTCGTCTGATGGTTGAAAGTGATTTATTCCCATAAAGCATTCATCACTGGTTTTGTTTGTTGCGAAGTTATTTCAGCAGTAAATGATCTAGATCTAAATGTCAGTGTTCAACTACGCAAAAGGGATCAACGCTGTTTTTGATACTTAATATTTATTGTATGTTTGATTTGGTTTTATAATTTCCCTTTGTATTGTCCAGATTATGTTTTTGTTCTCCTGAAGCTTATTTCTCACTCTACAGACCGAGTGTTATATTTTACGAGGGGGCGCGGAGGAGTTGTACAGGCCTCGTCTCTCACTCATCACTACCTGTTTCACTTTCAACGATTGTCTCTACGATCACATTACACTGATGAGGCTAAACATTATGGAGCACTGCTGGCTTTTATGGCTTTTGAGCCTCCAAATCAGTGTCACCGCACAGGTCCCGCTTGACCCGCACGACCTCTGAAAGTGCCCTGCGGTAGTTCCAGCCTGCTCCCGTCCCAACACCCTGTGGTCCCGTTCATGGTCTGGGGTAGACCCTCGTCACAAGCCCCCCCCCCGGCTGGTTTGGAGAAGCTCTGACCGACACAGTGGTGGTGATTTGGCCCCTCGTCACCACGGCCTTCACACAATCCTAACAGATCCTAACCCACTGTTATCCACTTGAGGTGGTCGTAACGTTTTAGCTCATCAGTGTACATCCCACAAACATTGTAATGTAACTACCTCCTCTCATTTGCTTGTTTCATGTCCTGCTCAAATTGGACTGATTTTAATATCAAGTAAGATTACTTAATAAAAGTGACCAAAAAAAATGACTCTTTGTTCTCGAGTGGTTTTTTTTTTTTTCTACTCCACATTTTTGGCACTAAATGTCCACAAATGTGTTTCTGCACCTCCCACGCATCATCTGTCTCCTGGACGTCTGTGGTGTCTATCACTGCAAATGCAAACTACATTCAGGGTTGGGTAATAATCAGGTTATAAAACGAGTAACCACATACTGTGAGCTCTGATTGCATTTGAAATATTGTTAGAATTAGATTATGATTCAAATGAATTAAATTAAGATTCTTAAATTGTGAACACTTACATTGATTCTATATAGAATTTAAAAATTATGAATATTTGTTTTAATGATAACCACTGATATTAACCAATAAAAAGTGCAATCAGTGCAGGACAAACATAAATCGGCTGTCATCAGCAAACAGCTTCACTTTTTCTCCTCAGTTAGCAGCGGACTTTCACCTTCCTCTGCCTCAGTAGCTAACGAACAAATACTCAATGTGCAGAATTGTATTTGCATTTGAAATGTTCTGACATGTTTCATGAGGATGAAGACGAATATTAGTGGTGTATTTTTGAGATGCAATATTTTAAAGGTCTGATTTTGAAGTAATCAAATAGGAATCAGACAAGATTACATTTTGATAGTAATTACAAATGGAAACAGTTGTATGCCTCCGACAAACAGTGTATTTTTCCATCTACAAAAATCGTTTTCCAGACCACTGAAATCTAAACCGTTCATCTTCGATTCCAAGTGACAATGATCAGAAGTTACAGAAAATTCCCTCAAGGTGGCTTTGAGATATTGCATTCAGGCCCGAAACATGTTTTATGACTCCGCTGTGACCTTGCAAACAACCCGAAAACATAACGCATCACTGTCTGTCCCCGCCGCGGAAAAATCTCATTTTAAAATGATCCTCCACATTCACTGTGTATGAGCACAACAGAGACAAGGAGAAAAGACAAGGAGAAAAAGAAAGACACCAGCCATGACCAGCTATTATCTTTTAATTATCTGCTGAGTTACAATCCTCCAAATGTACAACTCATGACATTTACAACAAACATTTAAGTTTATAGTATTTTATTACGCAGTTACTATGGATACATCTCCACTGGCATGTGTCTTTAGAAGAGCACAAATCTGATAAATAACCATTCATACCTTTAAAAACTAAACAAAACGTGTAGGCCCAGACCAGGAGACACACTGTGGCATGTTGACAGGGTGTCGGTAACAGTGTTGGACATGCTGAGATGTGCGGGTTCGCAGAAATTCCTTTTTGAATCGAGGAAACGGAGGAGAGACTTGCAGTGGTTGTGATACAGTGATCTGTGTTCGCGCTCAGGTTTCCTGTTCTCTCAAGATCCCGGACTCAAACAGACCACACACGCACCTACAAGACTGGTGGCTGCTTTATTTCAGACGGTTCAAATGACGCCCCATGTTTTTCTGTCTGCTGCAGAGTCCTGATGCTGGACCGAGCCTGACGTTCTAACCTCTTCTGACATCTCCTGCACGAATTTCATCTTGTTCGTCGCTCATCACCCCTCTTCTGTTCATCCAGAAATATTTGTAAAAGATTAGGTGTGTTGCATTCACTTGAGAAAAAGGCCTTCCTGAATTAACCAGATGAATTCACGGGTTCAATATCCAGTCTCTGCTGTTCATCAGCCTGCGCTTCCAACAGATCTATTTTACTGAAAGACGCAAGTGTCTCAACCCGAAACCAAAATGAAACTGGATTCAACTACGCAGATGGGACGTGTTTGCTTCGAGAGCTTATTTTGCTGCCCTTCAGAAAAACCTTTTTTTTTTTTCTCAAGTGAACACAATACACTTTCTGGATTTCTTGAATTCTGTCCAGAGCACTAAAAACCCAATCACTTCTACCTGTAGACTTAGCAAAGTGTCAAACTGTGAAACATTGATTGGTCTGATGTCAAAGACACAATTTTCTCAGCAGCATACGAAGTGGAAGAAAAGAGTCAAGTGGATGGAAAGACACAAAAGAATATGATTTAGCCTGGGACAGAGAAAGCTCTTAAATTCCAGACATTTTAAACCACGCGCCATCTTTTAATTCACATGGTTTGTATTGACTTGAATGGAAGAGTCAGGCTAAATCACATATTTGTTACTTTGCCCCCACATGAGGTTTTTTTTCCTCCCACCTTACATCACATGAGGACGACCGGCCGCTACCTGGTGAGTTTGTGTTGTCAACATTACGTACACACGCTGCATGACAGTACTGGATCCAGGACGACCTGCTGATATCTGCGCACCCTGTTCTTCACCCGGCTCTTCCGTGATTCTCTTCCAGTGATGGGGTGGAACCGTGTGAACTGTAACTGTAGAGCTGCTGGACCAGAGGGGGTGGGGGGGGATCTAACTACCTGGATTAAAATCTCTTGATCCATGTCTTAAAAAACAAGCTGCAAACAACAAGAGCGGAGGTGTGAGTAGAAGAGGGCAGGCTGTACTCTGGGGGGGGGTATGCGAGCGGCAGAGAGGTAAAATGAACACTGGCACACCTTCAACAGGACTAAAACATGCACAGTTTCTAGTCAGTTTATACTTGAGCTACATGGGACACAACTGGGCACGTCATAGATGGCTGCGGTTTTCTTAAAAATGAATCGATGAAAAAACACAACGGTAGGATTTTTTTTTTTTTTTTTGTTCTTTTGTGCACACTTTCACTGATGGATTTACCGGCGGATGGAATCACAGCTATGGTCGTAAAAGAGTGTCGTCTCTTAATCTATTGCGTCAGGCTGTCTATGGAGCTACTTGTAGCAGGAGGTGCATGCACAAGTAGAGGTGGGGACTAGGGCTTGACTGATGCATGCAAAAAAATAAAAAATAAACGATGGCAGAAAGTCAGTGGTTTCGACCTCAAGATAAATCCCTTAGTTGAGCGTTAAGAGGCGTCAGGCTGCGAAGCCTGAAATTAACCTTCTGACCCACCCAAGATAAATCTCACTATTATGGCTTTCAGGAGAGGTTTGGTATCCCGTGGTCTAAAAACTGTGTACAAGGCTTTCTCTCATTCAGCGTGAAGTCTTGCCCGTCATAATAAAATAAAAAATTCTACTAGAAAAACTCGGATTTATGGTTCGAAACGAAGCGGAAAGTGCAAGGCGCTCTAAAAGCCACATCAGTCTAACCCTAGTGGAGGAGGGCGGGACAGAGGGTCGAGACACATCTGTATGTCTGGCTGGCAGTTAACGCGACATGGTACCTTGGCACGTGACAATGGGGCACAGAGGAGCGCAGTCATGAGGTGTCATTGGGTGATAAGGTGGTCAGGCAGGCATTTAGGTGGGCAGGTGGGGAGGTGAGTGGGCGAGTGGGTGGTCTCGGACACAGTCATTTAGCTCTGGGCGGTTAGCCGCTGCTCTGTGAGCGATGCCTGGTGTGATACCGTCTTGTTTTCGTGAGCCCTCAGCTTTGACACCACATCGATGAAAGCCAGGCTCTGGACTTCTTTGTGAAGAGGCTCTGCAACGAGCAGAAGAAAGAAAGAAAAGAGAAAAAAGAGGTATTCAAATAATGGTACAGTCCAAATGAATGGGACAGTGCAGGTCCCTGTGCGCCAGTCGCTAGACGTCTGAATTTATTGTGACGAGGAGGAAAATAAAATATTAAGATACTGGTTTTATAACAAGAGATAAATGAAAAGTAACCTCAGAGACACGTCACACACTAACAACAGCAGCTCGCTATAGAAGACAACAAGCTCGCCATTCTCAGTGTAGACATCATGGCAGAGGAAACAAGAAGAGGGAAAGAGACATGAGCAGGTAAGAAACTGAAGAACAGTGAATATCAGAGTAGATTTCCCTCATCGACGAGAGCTGAAAGAGGCCAAAGGATGCAGGACAGATGCCGGCCTGGCGTTGTTGCTGTTGGACAAGTAAAGTCGGAACTTTTACTTGTTTGCTTTGTCTTGTGCTTTGCCGTGTAGTTGTCGATTTGCTCATGAGAAGCAGGTGAAACCCTTTCTCCGTGGAGGTTTAGCAAGTTAGCCAAACAATTCCATGTGAATACACATCATGCTCGGACATCGATAATTGCGTCAGCTACCTGCTTGCTGAGGCCCAGACCGCAACTCGAATTTATGACAACGAATGCTGCATCCCGCCTGTAGGGGGAGCCTGAGTGCAGCCCGAGAGCAGAACTTGCATTGTGTTGCATTCAGGAGAAACGTGTGGAGGGTGACATGACTGTTGGACCTGATGGGCCCATCTGGTCCAACAGTCATGTTTCAAATTCAAAAAACAGAATGAAATATGTTTAGAGTCTTACCTGAGCCCATGACTGCACAGATGAGGATCATAGAGTTGTACTTGATCTCTGGGGCACTCCTCTCGTCTGACAGCAGCTTGTGCAGCACTGACACCAGGTTGGCTCCAACAAAGTCCTTCTCAGCCGCAACTGCAGCCCAGACACAGACACAGTGAGTCACCGTCACGACCACGACGAGATGTTTCGGCGTTGTACAGTATGTGCTGCTGAGTAGCTGGTGGGGATTGCTTTTATGTAATGTGGTCTTTTCTACTGCCGTTACGTTATTAGTAAATTCATTTCCTTTAACTGTTTTGGAGTAAATAAAACAAGCTGCAGAGTCGCCTTGGTAATGTACGAGAGGGAAGTCGAGAGAGGGGGCTTCAGGGACGTTTCGTTATTCGTGCTTTTACTGATGTCTCCTCCTGTCTGCAGAAGACGAAGAGGAAAAGCTGCTTCTTCATCTCTCAAAGCAGAGGGAGTCATGTGAGTTACATATTTAACACGTAACTAAAAAAGCTTGCTTTCATCTCCAAAAAATACATATAAAAAATGGTGTGGGATGTTTTCCTGACACACTTTGAGTCCTTAAAAAAAAAAAAAAAAACCTGAGCAGCCATAAAACATTTTTGAGGAAGTTCACTTCACATCTATCTCGATTTTCAATATCTTTTCCAATCTCTCCGGTGACATAGTATGTTTTATTATTAAAGGCAGCTCCCTGATGTGATGGGACTCTTGTGCCTGTGTGTTTATCGTGCAGTATTATCACATACTCTCAGACTCATTACAAAAAATAGCAACAATAATAATAAACTTTATTTGAAGCAGCTCAAAGTGCTTTAAAATAAGTGAATTGCCATTTCGCTTCATCTGTTCTTACCCAAATCCAGCGCCGCTATGAGTCCCAAAGCCACCAGAGCTTCATTCTGCATGATCATGTGCTCGCTGGTTGCCATGGTAACTAAATGCTTGACTCCTCCTCCCTGGATGACAGTTCTGACGACTTCCTGAAACCCACAAAAACCGGATGAGATGAGTTGTTTCCTGTCTGTAACATGACAACGTTTACATAGACGTTATTTAGATTATGATGTTTATACTCGTACATTCATATTACCATTTATATGTAACAGTCTATAGTAATATGATGTAAATGCTATGTCTGCATAATGTGACTAAGGTCAGAATACTCCACGTCTTAATTTGATTATTATGACCTTTGTCAGTTAAGATAATCCGAAAATGCTGTTAACTCAGCAGCTCTTATTCAGACACAAGACTTCATTGTATAAAAGATAATCATAGTTATCATTTTAACTTTCCTTCCTTGTACCATGGGCCCCAATCCTTAACAGCCTCCAACTCCCATAATCACGGTGCCAGAGACTCAAGACCACAACATCCCCGGAGGTGCTTGACTCACACAGAGGACGTTGATTTGAGCCAGTTTGCAAGAATTCACATACGTGCACATGTTGCAGTGTTTCCTGTAAACTGAGCTGCTGCATCTCCCATAATCACCTCAGGGGTCAAAGAAAATCCGAAGGCTGACGACATATTTATTTTCACTTGCATGGTTTTATCTGAACTTGAACTCCTTTTTTTTTAGCTTTTGTAATTAGTATGGTTTAGCCACACTATGTTGAAATGTATTTAGTTTTTGTTTTCATATCAAAGCAGATATAAGGATGAGGTTGCACATGTGCAACGCAGCAACAATAGCTGACAAGGAAGAAGGGTGCCAGCTAGTAAGTGTGGCTGCATCAGATATTCTTCTGGACTGGAGAGAGAATGTTAGTAATTGCAGTGTTGCATTATGGGCTGTATCCCGGGTGAAGCTGTGACACGTTCGGCCGCCACAGAGGAAATGAGCAGCGCGGCGGCTCACCTTGGACTTGCTGTGTCGAATGAGAGCTGACAGGAGCCTGTTGGACTCGCCCATCACTCCTGCGTGATCTTTGGCTTCACACCACTCCACCAGTCTCTCCACCAGCTTCCCGTTGGTGCCCAACTGGTCTGCAGCCTCAGCTGAACTCACACACGCACAGACAGACAAACAAACACACAATAAGATTACGGCCATCTGGTGTCAGCTCTCATTACAGTTTGTGATTGAAGAAGTTTCTGTATTATTTTGGATTTAAAGCCGGGCAGCACTGAACCAGATTTTAATTTCTCACTGATTATGAAGACTTTTCGATATGAAACCGTCTGCACCTTCTCGAGCAGCACTTATCATCTCTGCGTAACTTTATGACTCAGAATTGAGGCTCTTACAGTCTGACCTAAGAATCTCTCATGACGTTTGTACCAAAGCTTCAACAAAGCCGAGGGGAACATAACTTATAATTAGAATATCTTCCACAGGGACTCTAAAGTTAATAATCGGATCTGTGTGACATGACGACAGGATGTCGATTGTGTTTTTAGAATCCTGCTCTGAGTTAACATTAAATTGCTACCTTGTGTATCGATGAGCATGCGTAATGTTCCCAAAAGTTTAAACTGGACTGGAGGCATCTCCGACTGCAAAAACTTCAGCACCACGTCTGCTACGCCCGCTGACAGCATCTTGGATTTGTTGACCACTGGACAGAGAGAAGCAACAGGGTAGATTTAAACACAGGCTCGGTATAAAAAGGAAGCTACTAGACTGAATGGTTATCGTTGATTGTCGAACTACACGTGCAATTTCCAGTGGGTCTTACACCGAAACGTTTCTTAGAAAACCCCATTAAAACAGACGCAGCAGCTCACCAGGTATGGCCAGGTTCCGCAGGGCGCTGAGAGCTGCGTGTTGGACGGTGACATTGCCTTCCTCCACATGCCGATCCAACAGATCCAGAAGCTTCTGCACGATACCGGTGTCCACCATGTGGATGCAGTTCCCATCTATACAAAATAAAAAAAACAAGACACTATAGTTCTGGGTTGGAATGATGGAACGACAGTCGTCACAATGTTAAATGGGGAAATGTATTTCTATAATCAAATGCTTTACATTTCTATACAATTCTATGATGGAACAGCCGCTACAGTATCTGAATTAGTAGTTGAATTATATTTTCATTCTACGCATGTTGTTCATGTTCACAGATTCAGTTCATTATTTATATCATGCTATATTTAAATATTTATAGCCATATATCTTTATTTCAGGGTTATTTCATAGCCAGATTTATTTATTTACCTATTTATTTATTTAATTTGGACTGCATTCCATATGTCTCAGCTGACACGAGCAAAGACATGAAAACAGCGGTGGCACAATTTTCTCTGGCTGTTTTAAAGCATAACTGTCCACGATACATTCTGATGCATTTGCTCTACTTTCTCTGGCAGCCTCAGGTTAAAGCGCGCGCGAAGTTAAACTCACCGTTGCGAGCAAAGTTGGCGATGGCCAGAGCCCCCGCCAGCTGCAGCTGATGGTTGTGGGAAGGTATCCAGGACAGGACCCTCTGGAAGACGCTGCCCTTTCCTCCCTCAAACAGCTTCTGCATGGACTCATCTGTACAGCAGAGCGAAGACAAGTAAGACAAATAACCTTTCTGGCTCATCGTTGTGATTGAGCTGTGTGGTGTTGGAAGATTACAAAATCTCAGATTAGAAGCACAATAATCAGTCACAACCACGGAATTAGCATGAAAATAAAATAAAATATGTATACAGGTTTTAGCAAGCACTAGTGGAGCATATTAACTGATTATTGCTTGTAAGCTAATAGGACTGTATAAACGGCATGGTGGTGCTTTAGCACAATGTCACCGGGATAATGTGAATTGATGGGTTTGGTCAGACCAGCAGCAGAGAGGCCAGTGTGTATATTTATAACACTCATATTCTGCTGTGATAAAATATTTACATTAGGACTGAATTATTAAGGACAGAGGACATCTATGATCATGGATGTGTGTAGGGGAAATTTCGTTTTTTTTTAATGAAGTCAGGTAAAGCACAATCCTGTCTCCTTATGGCCGTGTACAGTTTGCTCTAAGGTCTGTGAAACAACATTAATGACCCTTTGAACACAGTATGAATTTTTAACTACTGTTACACAAGGTTTTTTATATGAATTCCTGTGCTTTGGAACTGCAGGAAGCAAGACACATCATGCCTGTGAGGTTTGCTGCAGAGCAGATGAAACTGAAACCATTTTTAGAAAGTCAACATTGTATCACTGTATCAGTCAAAGCCGGGGCGTTCACCTCCCAGCAGCAGGAGAACCATGAGGTCGGAGGACGTCTTGAGTTGGGCGATGTCCTCCTCCCTCTCTCCGTCCACAGTCTGAGCCACCACCTCCAGCAGACACTCCACCAGGCCGGCCTCCACCAGCTGCAGCTTTATCACATCTGGCGAGAGACGGAGGGTGAAACGCTCAGTGGAGGCTTGCAGTGAGCGGGTAGGTCGGAAACTCCTGCTGCAATTCAGTGGTGCGTCATGCGAAATGCATCGTGTGACACCATTAGCACACATGGGACTCTTCTCAGCCCAGCATGCCAACCGACTGCACAGCATATGAAGCATGATGATGAGTTACTCAGAGGAGCTTTATTTATTCAGGAGGTCTCTATGTGAATGGCTTCCAGTGGTTTTAGGACAGCAGCGGCACAAGTGGACAGGATGTCTCAACAATTCAGTGTAGTAGAGTTAGACTTATAAATCTTCACGACTAATATATATCACTTAAAGGTCCAGAGTGTAAGATTTAGGTGACAGGGATCTATTGGGAGAAATTTAATGTAGAATAATCCTCATGATGTTTTCACTAGTTCATTTCATCTAAATTGTATGAATTGTAGTTTTCTTTACCCCAGAAAATACCCTGTATATTTAAATACTTTATATTTACATCGAGGGGACCCTCTCTACAGAGGCCGCCATTACCATTACATAGTTTGTCCATTAGCGATCAAAGTCGCACCTGCTTAGTATGTTATCTTAAAAATAAAGAGATCCATACTAAGGTTTATGTTAATGTTATGCATTGAAAATATATATTATTTGCCAAATATCAATGTCTGTATCAGCATCACAAACCAATGAAGGAGCAGCTGAGTTGTGTACGACTATCTGCTATGTCAACACTTTTTAAGTCATGACATTGTACAGTGAAGACAGAAATATATGTCTCTATAAGTGCATTTGAATCATTATGTCCGTCAAGGGTTTTGTTTTCTGTTTTGTTTGTCTGATAGCTGGAGTACACAAAAACTACTGCCCAGACAGAGAGACAGAAACAAAGAAAGAGAGAGACAATGAGACAGAGAGAGACAGTGAGAGAGAGAGAGAGTCTCCTTAAGAGCAGAGTTCAGCAGGATGTTGTCCTGGAGACTGACAGTGTGGGAGAACCCAGTGTTCCTAACATAATAACAACCCCAGCCAGTAGGATGCTTTTTACTGTTGCTGAAACACACACACGCACGCACGCACACGCACGCACACGCACGCACACGCACGCACACGCACGCACACGCACGCACACGCACGCTGCCATATTTGAAAAAGAACAGCTGAGTGAATGCAGGGTCTGTCTGCCATGAATGTGCAGTTAGCAGCCAGCCTGGTTAGCATGACTGTGCAGATAAATGTCTTCACAGCAGGTGGACATGAGGGAACACTGCAGTCGGTCACACGTCTGTGTTTCTCTACTTCCCTGATACAGAGGATGTAGAACAAGACAAGGTCAAAACCTGGTGTATGGTGTATTCATGACACCATTACATCATATTTGGATTTGACCACTTTCAGCCATTCCTTAATTCAATTTAGAAAGAGCAATGAGGAAATTCCTGACGAAGGACTGTCTCTATACATTCCTTTTCCACTCAGGGCAATTTACAGTACAAGTCTGCAGGGCTTCTATACACAGCAATGCAGACTGGAGGAGCCGGGGATCAAACCATCGACCCTCTCCACCTCCTGAGCCCAAAATGGTGTAATTTGGTGTAATCGCTCACTTTGCCACTCACTTTGGTGGACGGGGGATATAGCACTAGACGGTTGCCTGTTAGGCCCCCCAAAAAATATCAACAAGAAAAAAAAGCACTTTACCATTTTCTGCAAGTGGAGCCAGGACCTCAAAAATCATCTCCTTCTTCTCGTGCTCTATCTGCTTCTGGAAGAGACGCACCAGCTCCTCAGCGATGTTGGTGGAGGCAAACTGCTCTTTGCTGGATTCTGAAAACGCAGGAGGATTACCACAGGCATGAGACACTGTGATCTACACCACTCAAACTGCATTTTTGTGTTTTTTTTTCTACTTCAAATTAATTATTCAATCTTATTTCATTGGAGAGCTGTGTGCAGTGCATTGATTCTTTACCTCCCTCTCTCTTACACACAGACACACACCTGTCTATCAAAGTCAGACAAACAACAATTGAGAACAGAAATGATGTGCTCACTCAAGGCTCTGATCTGATCACACAAGACGTGAATGCAGGTATGAACATGTGTGTGGCAGGGGGACAAAAACACAATGTTTCCACAACTTAGCCCAAACTTATTTTCCCCTCAGTAAGTTCATTTGCTTGGATGAACAGATATTTCGATCTACTCACCGAGCTCGGCCAAATTCCCGAAGGCAATTAGACACATCTCTGTCAGGGCCGTGTTGTGGGAATGGATGCCCAGCAGCTTCACCAGAGTCGGAATCACACCCATATTGATCAGCTGGGCTTGTAAGGAATCTGCAGCACACAGAGACACAGACAGACAGGCAGTCGATCTGCTGTTCCAGATGGAATCAAGAGCTGAGGTCAAGAGAAAAGCATGTGTGACCGTGTCTGAACCATTTAAATAAACATAGAGCGTTTGTGTGAATCTGGTCTTTGAAGATGATTTTCAGAGGAAATGATAGTTTAACAACACTGTGCTTCTGCGGAAAGCAGACGATAAGATGCGGGTAAACTTTTAGGGAATTTGACTGTTCATGTGTGAAGTGGGAATGTGTCATTTTTCAAAGAAGAAAAAAACACATTCTTCATCTTTAAATGTCAAGAGAAATATGCGTGCACCACGGAAAGCCAGTTCAATTCACTCAGCCTTGAACAGCAGTAACAATACTTAACACTAATAAACTGGTGTGCAGAAAGTAGCTGTATGTCTGACATTAGTCATTCACTCATTCTTTAAGACATTTAAAGAATGGAAACTATTGAGTCACAAGGACAAACTTGACTTGAAAACAGAGGAGATGTAGCATTAGCACTCTGAGAAATACTATTCGAAACAAATTGTAGTGTAGTGTGAGGCAGAAGCCACCTATCGACTCAACAATAGTATCATCTAAAGTATTAACAAGGTAAAGCAGCTAATCTGTCAAATGTTGAGAAAGTTCACACACAGCAACTTCAAATATTTTGTACTATAATGGAAATATTGCACATTCAAGCACATTAATCAAGGTATTAATTCCAAGCTGAGTATTAATAATATATGGAGTATTCTCATAGGCCATGATTAGTATAATTTAGAGCAACATATATGATTATGAAAAGTAAGTCAAGATCAGATATAAAGTCAGTCAGCATGCACTGACACTTTGAAACTATTAAATATCCACCTTAATACATATGTAGATGACATTTATTTTAAAAACAAATGAAAAGAACTACAGTATTTTTATATATTAACATATATATATATATATATATAACATTTACATTCAGTTAACCTTATATGACCTTGTTAGAATTCTCCTCAGGCATCGCGTGTGCCCTGGTTGTCACAGATGGACGAGCGCATTTTTCTTGAAAGATTACTTTTAACTGTGTTGTTGAGTGTTTAGTTTTTTTTCTCAACATTAGCTCAAGATGAAGAGTCAGCGTCGTGCTGAAAGTTGCTGAAAGCTGCAGAAAGTATCAATCCTGTTAGTGCAGTGCCAACCCTCCCATCACCCAGCCTAACAGATCCATCATCCAGTGCCAAAAGACTCCTTGGCAGGAGCTCTGAGTCTGTCACGTCACATTCTCTGCTGCTCTCAACAAGCCTCGTTATCAAAGACACAAACTGCACGATAAGTCCAGAAAAAAATACGTCTCCAGGGACGCACTCACATTTCTCACCTTTTAAAACAGACTGAAACAGTGATCTCCTAATATTCATTCAATAACAGTTAAGATCGAAAATGACACTTGAAGGACAAAGCCTGTGCTCAACAACAGGATGAACGGAAAACCTTTTATAGGTAATAAAATGAAGTGCAAACAGACTAGGATGACATTAGCTCTCCCACCAGCATCTCCACAGGTCACAGATTAATACTATGAATGTGATTTATTTTGTCTAAACACAAACTAAGAAGTAACACGAGTAAGAGCATGTCCTCACCAGCTGAGTTGCAGAAAGCATCCCTGTTGCTACATTAACACATCCGTCTAAACCACTGTCATTAGATGACTTCTTATACAGAGCTAAAAGCCTCGCCTGTGCGGAGAAGGTTCTCCGTTTTAACACAGTGTTCTAAAATCAAAACATATTAGTGTGGACGATTCTTGTGAAAGATTAAAGTCAGTGTGTGCCATTCTTCCAATTTCAAGTTATACCATGTTGTCAGGCAGATACTTAAAAGTGTGTGTGTATATATATATATAAGTATATATTTTTTTTCTAATTTTTATATATATATATATATATATATATATTCCCTATATTGCGAACCTAAAGGTGTCAATTTAGGGAAAGTCAATGGATCACCTAGGTCATTAGACTACTCGACCAGGCAACCAAGAATGCCTGAGTATGACATTTTGTGCCAATCATTTTAGGGGCTTGTGGATATTTCACAGGATAAGACAACTTTGTAATGCTAACCTCACATGACCAAAGGTTCTGTAGTAATCATCTTTATAGTTGCTGAGGTTAACGTATTTAAGTCTGGACCAAAGCGGTGGACCGTCCAAAACACCCAACACTGCCATCACTAAACCCACGTCACTACAAGGGCTAAACAGCAAGGAGAAGAACTAGCCAATAAAAACTACTACTATGAAAGCTGTCTCATATAACTGCAGATTACCTCAGAGGTGAAGTTGAAAAAGCAACAGAGGTCATGGTAGAAAGACGAGGAGAAAAGGTCAGAAAAGCATAGAATCCTCTGGTTCAGTTCAAGCCTACTGTCTGTGTGTAAGAAAGAGAGCATTCGCTGATTAGTTGAGATGAGTTAACAGTTGTTCTTGGGGGAAGATGGTCATTACCATTATCATTGCTATAGTTCATCAGCATGCCACAAAAGACAGTCAAGAGCTTCTCATTTTCCGGCTCAGTATTTTGGTAGAGGGATTTAATGTGTTCAGCTACTATCTGAGCCCCTCCTGCCAGGTCAACTGCACTCCTGCCCTCATCTGCAAAACAAAGAGGCCAGGACACAAATCAACCACAAAGCAAAGGGAAAATAAAAATGAAAATAACCACAACTTGAAAATACATATGAAAGCAATGCTAAGTAAGCAGTGCAAAACATAGAAATCAGGGCAAACCAAAGCTGTAAAAGAGTCACAATGCTGAGTAAAATAAATGTGAAGGAAAGAATTATGATCACAACTGCATGACATGAATGCGGATTCACGTGAGGCTTATTGTTTCATTATAAGAATCCTTCCAAGAACCTGGAGGTGGATTTCTTTTAATGTCTTGTTTAACACTGGCGGCCATAATTCTTCCCTTTTCTTTCAAAGTTTCTTTCCAAGGTATAAAACAGAATAAAGCTGAAGCTTACCCTGCACAGATGATACAGTTTCGATAGAGCGAAAGAAAAAAAAATTCAAACTCAACATAATCAACAACAGGAAAACTGAAAGGAACTGCAATCTTGAAAACAATAAAAATCACAGAAGAAGCTTGAATAAAGACCATTGACGGTGGAAATGTTTGGCTTCATGAGGCCTTGATGCTGCGTCTGTTTCCAGACTGTAGTCCTCTGAAGACCAGAACACTTCACCTATGATGTTGATGCTCATCAAGTGCCTTCATCGAGTTTCTTTCATTTCTTTGTTTCTTTACTAGTGCCAGCCGTCTCTCTGGTAGAAAAGCTGCCAAACCAAGTGTTACACGAGTCACTCCTCTCAGTATCAGCGCGTCTGCTACTTTCAATCACTCGTGGCAGCGCGCCACGCCTGAACTCTCGGCAGCAAGGACATGTTATACATTATATTCTGTTCAGCTCATGTGTAGCTGTTGGTGTTGCTGACTCAACGCCTTGCTCCTCAAAGAGACGGTGGTAGGAATTGTGTGGTGGGAATTTAATTTGAATACTCACGATATTCACCAATTTTTACACTTGATAGTGAAACAGGTATATACAGACAATAAAGTAGATCACAGTTCTCAAGCAACAACCAGCAGGAGCCTGAGTAGATGCCAAATGCAAAGCTGTGCTAGCTTCACAGGGTTAGAATGCAGCTATGGCTGGTCCAGCTAGGACAATGGATATCAGCCTGATGATGTGAGAGCTCCCGAAAAGAATTTGAACCATGACCAACCATCAATCACCTGTTAATTGTGCTGGATTTGAACCCAGAGATTCAGGCCTGAATTGAAATTTAAAAGGATTCCCTTCATGTCAAAAATAGCCCATGCATTGACACAGATTTCCAATCAAATAGATATTAGTGTTACCTTTCATTATTTAGCTGCCGATATTTCTATTGTTTCATGATGAAAACATATGTTTTGGACAGACAGAGGTTCTTGTTGACCTGGCAGTTTGCAAGCCCTGTACTCTTATAGGGAACGCCATGTTGATAAACTGCAATGGCCACATCTCGGGTGGTTACACTTATTGTATAGTACATGATACCAACAACAACAAACCCCTGAGGATCTTCAACAAAATTGCTGATGAGATGGCACATCAACATGGAGGATCGTAAATGGAAAAAAAATTGGAGAAGGCAAATTAGTGGAGGTGATGGATATTCTGTTTCCTGTACAGTGAGTGCTGCATGGAGCACAGTGATAACTCGCAGTAACACGAGTTATTCATACAACCTGTCTTTTATAAATCGGAGGGAAGGTCAATAAGATAAAGTTAGACTTAAATAAATGGACAAGACCAATTACCAAGGTATGTAATGATAAGTAATAGCTTAAAACATACTCAAAGGTTTTCAAGTAAAAAAATAATAATATTTAACTAAGATCAGATGAAAATGACTTTTGGAAAAAATTGGATTAGGTTGAATAAGTATGATATGACACTTGACACATGTCTGTACAAAGTTAAGACGAAAGATCTCCTTTCATTTATTCTGATGGAGAACCCAAGAAGGTGTGGTGTTAATAACATATCACAAGTGTGGGTTTCTGTAGGGATAGCCAGCAGCTGCTTCTCCACACTCTCTCAGTGTGTCCGCCACAAAACCGTGCCAGCTCGCTGAGACCCCCCTCCACTCAGACAAATGTCACATCCCAGCAGATTCCACAGATACCCAGCTTTTCACCAAGACGGGGAACTCTGCACCAGAACTGACAGCTGTGATCAAAGCCTCTAAAGCTGGCCGCAAAATCTGGCTTAAACTCCACCGCTCGGTCCAGAGGTCAGAACTCAAACGCTCCGCTGATGCATTCACTCGTGTTTCTTATAGCACACAATCTCAAATATGATACATGCAGCAAACGAATAATATATGTTTTAGACAAAAAAATGGGATTAATGTGTAACATGTAGTTTTGTTTTTTTTACATGCAAACCCAACCTCAAACACAGAATAACAAAATATGTGTGTTTATCACATGTACATTAAGAACTTTATCTTTAAAACAATATCAGAATGTCTAAATATATCTGACCAATGTCCGTTTCTCACTGTCTTCGGTGTTCCCTGGAACTCTCCCCTACTGTTGGACGCATAGTGCATTGCCTTTGCTACGCTACTGGCCAGGCTAATAGCATTGAGATGGAAAGATGCGCACCCATCCACATCTACTCAATGGATCAAAGACCTTTTTACAGATAGGATCCATAGGGACCGTTTACTAAACTATGAAATCCATTTATTAACCACATGAAGAAGAGAGTCCAGCTGAAAGGAATTGGATTTTGCCCACTCACTACGACTACTACTGGTTTCAGACACTGTGCTATCTTTATATATTTAAGTATGCATACATTCTATTTTATTATTAGTTTTTCTGTAATCTGTTTCCATCTTATTTTTTCTTTAATTTATAGTCTCCAACTTATTTACTTTCACTTACTGAGGGTTTGTTTCTCTGTTTATACAGTGTTGCTGTTGCTGAATGCATCATGTAATATTGCAATGCAATGTAACAAGTTTTTGAAAAAGCAATACAAATATTTCTTTTCAAACCGAATGTATGAATATCAATAATATATCAATACCAGTTATACTGTTATCTCAGTCATATGTGGGATTCTAAGCCTTTCAGCTGCAAATGAGTAAATGAGGCCCGTTCAGACCTGCTACTAACATCAGCCCTGATTAATCTGATCTGTGTTCAGCTCTAAATTCAGATGTGAATGCATCTAAAACTCATTGATCACACATCTGAGATCTGATCACTCACAATGCATGTGTCCATATTCTTTAATCAGTGTGAGCATGAACGTACCCGGGGCCACATTAAAGGGCAGCTGAAGTCCTCTCATTAATGTGGTGAAAACGTTTAAAAGGTTTTATATTGAAATAATTATTGACAATATAAAAACAATGTGGCATCAACACCATATTAAATGTGCAACATTAACGTTGAAAGACAGCTCACTCAAGAAGCATTTTATTTTACAATGAAAACGTCCTGTGATGCAACTTTAAATTAAAGTTAAATAAGTAAATCAACTGTGCATATAAGAATAACACAACCATTGTAAAAAAAAATGTAAATGTAAGAACGATAAAACCATTTGTAAATGATGATCAAAAAACAATAAAAGAAACGCAGAGGCGGAGAGAAGGTTACGTTCGGTGGTTAAGTCGACCCCGAATGTCTGTTGGTTGAATGTCATCAACGCAACTGAGAATAGGAGCGTTTATAATGAAGTGTAACTAAAGTAGTTTTAATGCGTATAGTTTCTTTACTATGTTTAGTGTCACATGGACTGCAGTAACACAGTTTCCAAATAATCAACCAACCAGCGTCTGGAGAAATTCATTCTATATCGATGTGGTGACGTAGAACTCAACAATATTTCCCTGCACACAATATTATAACCCTAATAAAGGCTTGTGAACGTGAAAATCAAACAACCGCAGGCCAAAGGCAGCATCATTTTTATTACTTATCTTCTATTAGGTCTGTGACAGTGGTGACAAGGCTCATGAGGGATTCAATGTTCCCGAAGCAAAGCACACTCCTACTTACGGCTGTCATAACAGATGTTGCCGAGAGCTCGGCCGGTCTGCAGTAAAACCTCCTGGTCGGTGGAGTTCAACAGCTGAATTAGAGGAGGGATGAGGCCGGCTTCCACACAAGGACTCCGCATGAACTCTGGAGAGAAGCAAGGATATTGGATAGCAGGTCACAAACCTTTCTTCACTTCATGGAACATAATAGCATCAGACACACATCTGCAGCAGAACTTGATGATGGGGTTAGTTTGAAATGTTGCGGTCTACATTTCATTTCCAAGGCATTTTGAAGTCAAGGCAAACCAAGAAATCTCCAACATACAGATCAACATATAAAAATGGACAAAACACAAAACACATCCAAGCTCTGCAGGAAAACAGAAGACAGCAGAAGCCCAATGTAAGATTCGACAACAAAATAACTGTGAAAGTTTCAAGGACAAAAGTTGAAATTAAATGCAGGAAATCCATTAATTTATGGAGTAGTTTGGATTTTTATAGTTTGTGTATGTATTGTATTGCATATTAATTAGGGGTAGCTTGTGAACTCAGCGGAAATGAAGATCACAATATGTGAGAGAAACGTGTTGCTGTCCTTCACGTAAAAAATAAAGGTTTTACTTTCTTCTATGCGCCAAATGCCGCCATAGTCAACAATAACAGTATCCAGGTTAATTATTTAGAGAGTAGAATGAATTCTCGAGGAGGCAGACCATTATATAAGCAAAATAAAGTGATCCCCAAAAAGAATAAAAAAATAAAAAACTACCACAATGGACTTCCAATTGCCCAACCCTTCTGGGATAAGGGACGTATATAGTATTTTCTCTAACATTTTAAATTTTAGGGTTACCAACTTCCAGAAATAATGTCTTTAAAATGTGTATTTACTGCTTTGAATATACAACATCACCTAATTGAATATAATAAATGATTTGACGAGCTGGTCTGTTGCTTTTGCTGATTTTCTTTTTTTTTTTAACTGGAAAGCTTGGAACACTTACCGACACTACTAAACAAATGTATTTACTTTCCAGTTCTGCTTAATGCTGTGACAGTGGCAGATAAAATGACAGTATCCGCCAACCCTTGAATCCTCATAGTAACTCACCCAGCTATCTATAAAACATCTCACGCAGGAGGGTCCAGAGAGGATTACTCACTGCTGTCTAATTTCCCACTGACAGTAAGCAGGGATACATCGGGATCTGTATCTGTGCAGGGATGAGACACTTGTGTGTGGTGATTTATAGGCATACTAATACAGCAAACATGTTTTTACGTTAAATCTTGCCTTGTGCTGCTCTAAAACAATCCCATCAGTTCAAAGCATCAGACAGAAAAGGGAGTCGTCTTAAGCCCTGCAGTCACTTGGCTGCATACAGACATTTCCGGAAGTGGTGACAGATAATGCCAGCGGGTTGATGCCAAGCCTGGCAAACTGCTGGGGAGTGATCATTAGCTGCAGTCTTGCAAGCTGCTAAAACCCATTCATTATCCTAACCTTTTCTTGCCACGAGTTCTATTCATGTCTGCTTTTCTCTCCTTTAAAAGCTTCTCCTGAGCTCACACTGAGGCATTATGGAAATGGAGGCTCTGTGAAACTGCAGTTATGCAAGATTTGATTCCTTACACAATAACCTCACACTCAGAGTCAAGCTCCGCTCTAAAACGCCAGGGAGGGCTGCGCAAACTGGCCCTGGTCTGAAATGACCCGTTAGTCAAAGACATTACGGTTCAATTCTTCAAACTACAAAGCTTTAAAATGAATAAAATAAAACCTCGCTTTCACAGTTGATTCAAATACATCAAACTAACAGTATCATGAAGAGAAGAAACGCAAAACAGGATGTGAGCAATAGAAAGTGCAACATCTGAACAATGACAAAAGAGAGAAGAGAAAGTCAGGATGTTCCCGGGTGGAATGGAACCTTACCATTTTTAGCCACCTCAGCTATCATGTTGGCTACTTTAGGAGTGCAGGAAGACTGGGGGCTCAGCAGGGTGGGGAGCAGAGGGAGGATACCCATCTCCTGGATCTTCATACTGGCCTCAGTGTCTGGAGAGGAAAAACAAAAACAGTTATATGAATTAGGTTTTCCAGAAATACAAAGTGCTTACATTAAATGTCATTTTTCTGACTTAAGTTTATTGCTGATAAAAACAAATCTGAGAACATGTGACATTAAAGAGGTCAGATATTTTTATTTTGTTCATTTTCAGTTAATTTGATTAACCTGTTACAAACACACAACACTAAGAATACATTTTACAGGAGAATGTAATCATACTTATTTTCAATGCTCTTAACTATGGAAGCATAGTTCCACTGAGTTCCACTCTAGTTTTATTACATCATCTGACCACACTAATGAGAAGGCATCAGGGTTTATTGCAAAGTGGGTTTACACATAAAAAATTGCCTTGGTGTGTAATGTGCAAGCATGAATATAAAAAATATATACAGATAGGAAACAAAATAAAATATACAAATATTATTTACACAAGAAAAGGGATTGTGCAGTAGTACTACAGTCTGCCTACTCTGCACCGAGTGCTTTAAGGTCCAGAGTAGGCAGATTTCTCTGGAACAAAATGAATTGTCTTTTATTAAACACTCAGTGTAAACCAGGCTTTACGTACTGTTGTTGGCGAGAGCTTTCAGCAGGCAGTCCAGACAGCTCTCCACGCTGTCGGTGGCGCTGTCTGTCGACGCTAGCTTCAGCTTCTCCAGGGCTTCGCTCAGGTTGTCTGCACACAGAAACATTTCATGAACAAAGGGTGACAGGATTTTAATTGGAGGCGATGATAGCAGAGATGAGAGGAGCACGAAAAATCCGGTGTGAGTCAGTCATGGGTCAGCAAAGCACAGCAAGACTCGGGTCCAGATACTTGTGCTCGGACCCGCGGACTCAAGCTGAGGCCAATGTGACAAGAGGCGTGCCATACCAAACTGACCCAATCAGCTACAGTCTTAGGAAGAAACGGGCTCTGGGGGAAATGTCCAATATTCAAGTGCATACAGCAGATATCCAAGCCAAGAGTGCATCTTTCATTTGCAATAAATTGATTTCAGTTCAAGCAACGGGAGATGCGAGAATGGAGATTGAGTTGAATGATGACGCCTATGCCTGGATTTTTTTACGCAACTAGCGACATCTTGGCTAATCTCTATTAACAGCTATCAGCATATGAACGCAGATAAATGAAGAGGCCCGTAGCCGATACATTTCGGTTAATGTGTTCCACCTCCCCTGCTCTCCACAAGCGCTGTTTACCTGCCCGCTCAGATGTGATTTGTCAAATTACAAACTGTAACCAGAGGCCGTCAGGCCCCAAATCGTATGCCTCGCTGACAGATTCTGCATTTCGATATTGTGCGGAATCTGTTTAGAGAGATTAGAACCATACTGGCCGAAACCAATTTTCTTTTATCCTGCGATAGACTGGAACCGGTCCAGTGTGTGATGGGATGGGCTCCAAGCGTGGTTAAGAAAATCAGTCGATGGATTGAATATCTTCTGATTTATCCGCATGAGTCAGATTAAATTATTATCGTTGCTTTGACTCATTTGATGCAGTAAAAAAAGGGCTGAGACGTCATGATTGACATCTGAGATTGACCTGCAATATGTCAGCAGGCAGATGCATGGTGGGACCTTGATACCACAGCTCCACACAGCGATCATTACAATACAGACTATGGCTGTGTTTGAAACCACACACTAATGTATCTAACTGTATAGTGCACTATATAATGTTCACCATTTTGTAGCGGTGTCCGAATGTTTAGTCAAGTCGGTATAGTGCACTCATTGTTTCCCATAATGCATCATGGAAAATAGTGTACAACCCATGGTCACTGACCAAGCAATATCTCCCTTCATGCATTGCGCTCGCAGCGGAGAGACGAGAGGAGCGAGGGCAGCAGAACAGCTCGACCCGTCATATACAGCAAATGTAAATACAAGCAGAGCAGCGTATCGCAGCACAAATGCCTGGAAACAAGTTTATTTCTTCATTTAAAGGTTGTCATTTAACTTTTTTTTTTTACATTAAAGTATTAATACTAAATGTAAAATAAACATTTAAAATTTACAGTGAGATTTTCCACTGGCCGGCGTTGTTGTACGTCATAATCCTGGGACAATGCTGCGTTACCGGCACAGAGAAATGTAGGTTTTTTCTTTTTCTTTGCTGCATGAGCTCATATATAGTCCTCTATATAGAAATCACCATATAGAGAAGCAGAGTGGGTGATTACAGACACAGCCTATGTCTCTAAATGAAGCCTCCAGTGCAACATGGCAGCTACCGTATCCAGAATATCTTGGTATAATAGATAGCCAGTAAAAACTTAGGAAACTCAAAATAACAACAAAGAACATGATTATATAGTTGCCGAAACATTCTACATGGCTCTACACACTCAGCCACAAAAATGATGTTTCTAATAGACTGCAGTTGTTGCTGGCAGTGTGTCACTCATGTTTGACTGGCAGGTGCCCCTCCCAGCTCACTTAACGCACTGACATGACGCCCATTGGCGTACAGCTAACATAAAGGCCAAGCTTTGTCCGAGGCGACACTGATTATCCGAGTCGTTTGTGTATAACTGCTCTGGTAGTTATTTTCCAGATTAACATAGGAGCAAGATTCAAGTACCTAGCCAGGAGGTTAAATATCTTTCACACACATCTCAGTTGTACATATAAGAACATCTCAACTTGACTCGTCAGCACTGTCAGTAAAGCGACCAAGAACAAGCAGGGAGGTTTTTATTACGACACATTTGCAGACATGACCTGCTGGTAAAGTCCAGAGAACTGGGTCAGGAGAACACCCAGAGTTTGTCTTTCACACATGCACAACGCAGCGGAAGGTTTTTCTTTGCACAGACGCGTTCACAACGGCAACAAATCCTCAGGCGCATTATTCAGGCGAGAGGTGGAGCAGCAGGGTGCAGCAGGCAGGGGCAGGAAGTGATGCATTAACACCACTGCGGAGATCACATGGATTTCTTTACAACACACAGCTCTTATTAACACAAACTCTCTCGACATCTCTGTCAGGCTCTTGTGTTTGACACTACTTTTTCACTAAATTGAATTTTCGATATAAAACCCAACACTGATTTATTTGTTATTTTCATTTGATCGCAGCCTCGTGCTTTGATGGAGCTACCCAGCTTTTGTCGACCGTCAACAAAATGAGGAACCTAGAAAACAACTTCAGCGGAATCATCTTCTCCCTTTTCTTTTGTAGAAAGCTGGACTGTTTAACTCACCCGTGCTCTACTTCTTCCGTCTTCTATTTACACCGGTCTGAGGACCACAATCAATCCGCTGCCCTGCCAGCCATGTAAACCACAACGACTGAATCAATGATTTTACAAGTGGCGAGCATCCATCACATGCTCCGACAAATGATCAGCTCATCATTTCTGTTGCTTTTGTTATTAAAATAAATGAAAACTAGTTGCGGGCTATTTGTTTCCTCATCACATCTTTAATAACGACTGTGAGCTTAATGAACGTTCTCCCCTCAGAGATTTGCGTTAATGAAATGTTTGACAACTCAGCTCCTCATCTCCAGGAAAGCGTTTCACCGCTTCACTGGATCTATGCTCCATATAGATCTATTTACAGCCGGAGCAAATAGACAACAACAAGGTTAAATGCAGAACATGTGAGATGGCCGGATGCTTATTCACTAGTTCTGCAGAGCTCTGCCACGGCTGCATTTTGACTCACAGCACTGCTGTCAGCTCAGCCTGCACAGTCGACCATCTCAGCAAAACCTGATTTGGACTGACCCGTCAGGTTCGGTACAGAGTGAACTCTAATTACGTGGGAGGCTGACACACTACTTTCTCCTGTGCGCTATTGATCATCGATAGAGACGAATAGACGCAGCGGCAGCAGCAGGGGTCGGAACATTTCGGTGCTGTGCCTACAAACCAGGTGATGCCATGATTGCATAAGGGTTGCAGACACTGTTGCAGTGACCTGGTTGTCTCCGGGAGTTGCTGGTGCACGGCACAGCCCACACATCCATCCCTGGATTTGTTCATATGGAAACGACAACGCAGGTGATCCAGCCCGGAGCTCAGACCTTATGAAATGTCCCACGAATGCACATTGCTCGAGATGCAATCCAGGCGTGCCTCCTCTCGGGGATGCTGGCTTTCAAATGTGATCACTTCAACGCCAAGATGCATCATTAGAGCATCCACAAGCCTGTAGTAAAACAGCGTGTGTCTATCATCAAGAAAGCAGTGCAGACAGTAACACTGTAGAGCAGTGCAGTATAAACAGTATCACAGAGTGGGCTGCTGCTGCTGCTGCTGCTGGATCCTATTGCATAACAGCTGATGGAGATGGAGGAGTGCCATCCACACCATCGGCCGCACGCTGCCATTTCAGGGGATGCGAATCCATGTGGTCGCCGGGACCTTCGAGCCATTTCGGGTCCCAGCTGATCCGCAAACGGGCGAGGAGCCGAGGCACTGGGGGGTGGGGGGGGCTACTTCATCCTTCACGGAGCGGGCGGTGCTGAGGGGGAAACATGATGATGGAGTCAGGGAAGCCACCCCACCCCGAGCTCGGAGGGCGCGTGCACGTACACGCGCTTCGGCTCCAGGCAGCCCTTTTCCTATGACAACCACTGGATCCACGCAGCTGGGGACTGTACATACATGACACCCAGCAGCGGCCATACGTGATCTGACACGAATCATGCTAACGACTCCCCCCCCCCGTTCACATTACATGCTGAGGACAGTTGTTGTTAGCTAACTCGCCCCTGCGGTTAGCTGCTTAGCTTAGCTGCCCACTCACCCATCTCAGCAGGATGTTGCTCCGGCGTGCTAAACTCTCCAGGGCAGCGGTAAAACCGAGTCGTACAAGCCGGAGGCCCCGTGTTCCCGCACCGCGCCTCTTCGTCCCCGACACCGCCTTTGCGCCGGTGAAGTCCGCGGGTTGACGCTAGCTCGCAGCCGCCAGGGGGCCGGTTGGGGCGGTCCCCGCTCAGAATGGATGCTGCAACTGCGGCGGCCTGTGGCTGATCACCGGCTGACTACCAGGCTAACACGGCCGACCTCCTCTCATGTCCGCACCGACGGAGCAGGGCTGCTGGGCTGAGTGCTGCTGGAGCTCCTCCGGACCAACTGAGCACGCACCGTCAAGCTCACCACGCGGTGTGTGGTGCGGGACTTCCGGACACCAACCTTCAAAGTAAAACGCTCTGAGGAACAATCCTGTTGTGTGATAGTTTCGTTGCCGGTAGGTGGCAGCCGCAGACATGTGAAATCACAGGCCGGGTGATACGTTGACATTTGCCCAGAGATGTTGCACCACATGGATCCATTATGGAATTAACTCTGATCTAACCGTGCAATCCATTCACTGTACATACTATCACACTGCACATATGTTTCTTGTTTTACACAGTATACATTACTCTTTATTCCATTCATATTCTTCTATATGTTTTATATTCCTTACACCTAAGTATTGCATGTTACTTATTACTTACCGATGCTCTTTTTTTGACTCTTGCTGCTGTGATATTGCATATTTTCCCATTGCACGGCTAATAAAGGATTATCTTATTTTACCTTATGTTATCTAACCCACTGAATATGTTTCAGTGTAAAACTTGCTTTCTTTAAACCAGTGATTCTATGAGTTGAGACAAACTGAACCTGGAGGCCACAGAAGGTGATGAATAAGAGTGAATTAATATAGAATTAGAATGTCACTCAGTAGCGCGCATAACTCTGACATTAGTCTAACTCAGTCCCCTTATTGTGCCTGTGATTTTTTACATCAAGATCCATGACTTGTTATACAGGGAAATGCCCAATCATGCAACATTAAAGAGAGTGAAAAAATCAATTTCCATGGTTATTTGTTGTTATTGTCTTGCTTGCTAACAAACAAACCAACCAAGAAACAGACAGGGGTGAATATATATATATATATATATATATATATATATATATATATATATATATATATATACATATATACACACAGATCTTTAAAGAACTGCGCTGCAGTATTATCATTTTGATGGCCACAGTCTTCCAGTCTCTTGCACTTAACAACTTTTCCAAAAGTGCCCTGTCTGAGAAAAGACTGCACCTGGTAGTTAGAGGACCCGGGGGTAAGCAGGCTTCCTGGAACCACCTGGTGTACTGGGCAGGTTGCATGGCAGCCAATATCTCCTGAATTTATGGTGTTGAAATGAAGAAAAGTCTCCAAAGTGTGTTATAGGTTTGAGAGCAAAGGTGAAACGCTTGCACAAACTTTTGAAATTGAAAACTTTTATATCTTTATTCTTATTGTAAAAGTTAAGTTTGCACCTGTGTATGTTGGTTTATTTGTAATAACGGGATTACACCAAAAAGACTAAACCGATTTCATCAAATTTGGTAAAAGGATGGTGCAGATGCAGATAATGTTTTGGATTCTGGTTTACTTTTTTTCATCGAGGAACTAATCAATGATGTGTAGGATTGTGGTGGAGGTATGAGCTCTCTGAATGTAGTTCCAGTTATTTTTTTGAATTACTACTCACACACAGTAACAGAGTCATACAAGGACTTATAGCACCCCCAACTGGGAGACAACACTGACAGAGAGAGACAAAGTGAAGCACCAAACTGATGCGAGCACAAGTTGTATTCACATAAACGAGGCCTGTGCACATACAGTAGCTACGCTCACTTTATGTACAAGTTGTTTCCCTCCTGCTCTCTGTACTTAGACACTTCACTGCCCTTATCTGTGTGTTATGTAGCTTATAGTGTTTGTGTAATGTAGTTAGAGCAGAGCAAATGCTTTCCCACACACGGTCCAAACAAAAGCCAGGTGACATTCACATTCACACACACACATCCACAAAGACACACACCAAGAAAGAAGTGCAATTAGAGCATCCCACTCCAATTAACCAGCTCTCTAAACAAAAACATTAGGCCATCAATTGTGGTTGCACTTGAAAACAGCAAAATGGTTAAGCAGCACAAAAGCTCGAACTGTATTTCTCCTCCTGGACATGTGTGCACAAGATATGTGTGTGTGTGTGTGTGAGTGTGTGTGTGTGTGTGACAGTACAGTATGTGCGCACAGATTGGCAGTGGTTACACACTGCCACAGAATCTGGGCTGTTGTGATTGTGGTGGTGATGGGAAGATTATGCACTCAGTGGAGGGAGGAGAGTGAGAGGAGGCAGAGGAGGAGGGAAGAAGCACAGCAGAGAGGATGGAAAGCAGTGAAACAGGGAGGGAAGCTGTTAGCAGCAGCACACACCAAGGAAACTAGAACCTGTACTGACAGGGTCAGTTACAGCTCTGCTCCCAATTTACTTTAAAACGCTTCTCATCATAGATATTTCTTACACCTACAGGTTGTGATGAATGAGAATTAGTGGTAAATATACAAAATACCCCTCATGCTTGAGAGAATAATAGTTATAGTCCTTATAATAAAATGTCAATAAATGACTTGCAATGTTTTGCTTAAATTATCGCTTTGTTTTTATATTATTCTCCTTGTCAACAATAAGATTGTTTGAGTAAATCGACGTGGCTTTTGTGAATATTGTTGTGTTCACAATTAAACAAAAATATATGATGACTGAGGATGTAGATGTACAGCTCAGATGCAAGTGTGTGTGCGTGTGTGTCAGTGGATGGCAGCAGAGCCACATAACAAGTTTACACAGCAATGAGGGCCCTTGCATCGAGATGGCCCTTTCCCAACATGCATCACTGACCAAAACAGACTTTGAGCAGGAAAAGCTTCATAACTTGGACTGAGTTATTATTTAACATCACACCCTGTATTGAGATGAATCAGTGTGGCAGTGGTCGCTGGTGCAAATTCCAGTGTCACTCCACGTGAATGATCGTGGCATGAAATTACGATGCATGAAATATGAAAAGCAAAAACAAAAACATTTATGTTGATAGCACACAAACTGGCATAAGGAAATTGGAGTGTTGTTCATTCACCATGTAGTGGTACCAGGCTGCTCTCTGTGGACGTTTGTTTCACTCTGTGGTCATTAGCAGTGGCGGATCTAGGATTTTATAAAACCAGGGGCCATAAAGGGGCCACAATTTACGCAGAGGGCCCAATTATATGTTCAAAATCCATGCTCAATTCCTGATTCAGTAAGATGCACATTTAGGTCATCTCTTGTTTACTGTCATCTCTTTAGCTTTGCACCAGGCCACACATCAAGACACATATTTTGAAATGCGTCCCTTGATATGGCACAATGTCTTTTCAAAAAGCTTAGAAAATAAAAAATCTTTACAAATTGTTATATTTATTGTGAGCGTGGTAAGTAAGTGACTGGTTAATGTAGGACAGGGGGACAATGAGAGTTCAGTTGGGGCCAGTGTTGCCCTGTTTTGTCATTATTTAGCAATTACCATCCAAAAAAAGCTTTTTTGAAGGGGCCCTCGGCCTGTACCTGCTGCGGGCTCATTCAGAAATCCATCCATGATATTAATTAGCATATCCCCTTCTCACTCTGGTGGGGGGCAACAGGGTGGGTGGGTGAAGTCATCATGTAAGTCAATGTAAAGGACTTTGTTCCCGGATTGTGGTTTTGCTTTGATTCCTTTCTTTTTTTTATTCCTAACCCCTGCTCACCACAGAGAGAGAAATGTCAAAGACACCTTGTGTGGGGGAAGGGTGGTGGAGGGAGAAGGCGACTGTCTCCCTCCCTCCTTTCCTTCCTCTCTCTCAACACACTCCCTCCCTCCCTCCCTCCCTCACACCAGTGCTGGCCATCAGTGGCGTCTGACGGTTGCATCCTTTGCTGTAGCAACGCAGCTGCTCCTCCATCCCTTCCTGCCTCGCCTGCATCTGACAACCCGGCTGCAGGAGCCTTTTGTGTCTCTGCGGGGGCCATTGTTGTCTCTCCCCCTGTTTGGAACAAACGCAACACCATGGACATGATGGGCAACAAAGAGCGGCGAGGCGTGAATTTCAAAGGCTTGCTGAAGAGGAATTGGCTACTGATTGCCACGGTTTTATCAGTGCTGCTCGGTACGTGGAAGCCCCTTAATGTCTGCTCATGTGTGCTGAGAGAATGAGACACTTTCACCCTCACTGGTGCCATTTTTCTACTTATCTTCATTGCTGTTTACACATCTGTCCCACCCTCTTTGATTCACCATTCAGCCTTGCTTTCTGCTGCTGTCACTGTTGAAATAAATCTGCTTTGTATTTGCATCAGATTTGCGCTGCTTGACCGAACAAGCAACAGAAATGTGACATATGTGTTCAGGAATCCAGCTCCATGTCTGACGTTTCATCTTTGCGACTCATGAAAGAATGGAGGATGAGTACGGAGTGAGTGTTAATGGAGACAGAGGCTCTGTCCTCCAGAGGCAGGGAGCTGTGTTCTCCTCTGTGTCTGGACGTGTCTCAGTCAAACGTGACCAGACTGAGGTGACAGCTGATGCTCTGTGCGAGGAGTCACAGCACCGAGGCAGCACAGTGCATAGACGACATACAATCTGCAGGTGCTTCAAACATAAAGGCTTGAAAAGGGTTCAAATGTTATATTATGTTTTTGAAATGTATATTATGTTAAATGTTCGTACATTACTGAACAAGGTCAGATTTCATTATCAAAAAATATTCTGAGATTGAGACCTGAGGATGGACATCAAAATCTATGACAGTCTGCTAAATACAGAGCTGTAATCGCATAGTTTAGCCCAGTTTAGCATACAGATTAAATGCAGGGGGAAATGGTGAAACATTTTTTATCAAGCGAAGTTCATTTGACTTATAGTCTCAAGTCACAACCAAAGTTATCTCAGGTGTAGGCTGTACTTCATAATAATAGAGAGCCATCATTGCAACTGTTAACATCCTCGCACGCGATGGTGGTGAGGAAAAGGGTTTTTTGCTCTGGGGGTGGGGGGGGTGGCTGACTCGACCGGTTGGGTTGAGAGAGGAAGGACAAGGCAGAAAAAGAGAGAGAGAGAGAGAGAGAACACAACACAGGTTCCACATAGATGTATAATAAGAAGACGAGTAAAACAAATGGTAATTGTAGCAGTGTTAGTTCAGCAGGTGAATTTCAGTCATGGATAGAAATTCCAAGTTAGTGTCATGCATTAAAAAGCTAAACTGGATCTGTCCAAAGGTTAAATTAACACCAACCAATATCAGTTTAACTCACTGATCCATTGTTTACGGATTTAGTCATCCTTCCAGGGGGGCTCCAGGAGCAGGTTAACTCAAAACATCCTTGCCATAGGGTGACAGTGCTAACCACTGCACCAACGGGCCGTTCTCACCGGAGAATGTGATGTAGATCATTTGTGTCATCTGCACACAAACAAAAACAGGAAATCAGCAATTTGGTTCCAAGCTATTTTTTTGGCTCTGACTATGGTGCCGTTTTCCAGATAAGATAACACAAGATAATCCTTTATTAATTCCACAACGGGGAAATTGGCTGCGTTACAGCTGCAATCAGTATATCAGTAAAGCAATAATAAGTAAACGTGCATAGTTAGTGCAAGGAAATATAAAAGTATAAAAAATAGAAATGGTCTAGAAATACTATACACACTGTAAACAGAATATTTACAGTGAAATAGACTGCACATGAGCCATGAATTAACTAACTGGAGTGGTCTTCTCCATGAGCGTGTTTTGTTCTCTGTGTGTTCCAGGTCTGACAGTTATTTGCTTCTCCCCCCTAAAAAAATGTCCCAGCATTTAACTCACAAATGTTTGTGAGTCATTTAAGCACATGAGATCATGTGTTAATCACTGAGCTGTGTAGACGTCAGTAGGTGTCTGAAGTTTTTGAACTTTAGACCGGGCTGGGCTAGCTGTTTCCCCCTGCTTCCACTGTTTATGCTAAGCTAGGCTAACTGCCTGCCTGCCTGGAATAGCTCCATAGGATCAAAACGTCTCTCAGTGTCAGAAAGAAAGCAAAGAAGTGAACTTTTTCTTTTAACACCTTAACTGTTACACTTCTGTCTAATGACAGACATTTTATATTTTCACATGTGAAGTTTGTCCTTGTGATTTTTAGCAGCCTTCATTAACTGCTTTATTTAATGTAGTTACATAAAAATCAAACACTTTATTTTCTGCTGCACGTATCTGCTCTGTACATCACAAGTTTATCAAACTATGTATGTCACACAGCAGCAGGTCTCTCAGCCCTTGTTGTTCATTTACCTTGATGAAGTCACTCTTAAAATGAACTTCTGCCAGGTTGTTTGGTTTATTGGGATGTGAATCAATTTATTGAAGGGCATGTTTTACTGCATTTCTAAGATTGTTTCTGCTTCTTCCTGGTCATTAAAAAGAAAATAAAAGAAATGAAAAAGTATTAGAGTCAAAGGTTTAGTTTCTCCAAAAAGCCCAAAATGTCTTCAGGCTCACTGTCGTTGTTTTTAACTGAATAATCTGCACCTGCATCTGAGAAATCAAGAAGAGATTTAAAACCACAATTCCTCCAAATAATTACAGAGATGCAAAACCTCTATTATCAAATACATAATTACTGGAAAGGTAGAAATGGACACAAAGAAAACTGAATGACTGTGTCAATCTGCAGGAAGGGTTGGATCTATTCATCTGCTGAAGACATGTAAGGACAAATTAGAAAAAAACCCCAACATTTGGTATTACAGCCAGCATGAGCATTGTTATTAGAATATCAACGGACTGTCAGTGGTGCAGAAGGCCTGAGCAGCTCCGTCTGTGAGGAATCTGCAGTCAGATATAAGACTGCGTGAGTTACGAGTCAGTTATACTGGGTCATGTTTTTGTGAATAAATGTGTTTGTGTCATCCAGCTCCAATTTGCTGTGTCATCCCGGTCTTTTACAAGCTTCCCAGCAGTACAGGGTCTGTTAAGTGTGATAACACAGATGGTGGCTTGCAGTGCATCACAATGAAGTATATATGTGGCATTTAGAACTGGAAAATATATCATGCTTGATTTACACTAATGTGCATTGTGCCTTGTAAACTCAATACGACAAAAACACCTTGAGACAGTGTCAGTGGCCCGTGCAGCGTTAATCATGTGTTTATATTTTGCTGACATGATACTGATTTAAATGTTCCTTATAATGACGACCATGATTTGCGCTCATCTATCCCACTTCCACATCTGCATTTACAGTGAAACAGATGTTCGTTGTGTCTTTAACCTGAACCTTTCTCCTGATCTTTCAGGGATCAGTTTGGGGGTCGTGGTCAGAGAGTATGCGTCCCTCTCCAATCTCGACAAGCAGTACTTCGGCTTCCCAGGGGAGATCCTAATGCGAATGCTGAAGCTGGTCATCCTCCCTCTTATCATTTCAAGCATGATAACAGGTAACTTCTGATTATTGCATTAGTAAAAGAAAGTCTTGAATTATAATAATAATAATAATAATAATAATATTAATAAATTCAAGTCTGTCTTTTTAAAAATAAATAAAGCTTTCAAGCTTCCTCGTGTGCCCTTTATTTTTATTTTGCAGGGTGGAGGAATTTGTGCATTTGCCCTTCAATCAATCAAACAAATTTGATCGTACAGCCCGTATTCACAAATCACAATTTGTCCCTTAACAAGGGCTTCACGTGTTTAACTTCCTCTGCCCTTAATCCATGTGTCATGAGTCCCCTGACAATCCTGGCCTATGGCAGCATAACTAAGAGATGGTCCGAGACAGACCTTAGGAACTGTTATTATAAGCCTAGACAGGGTTTAGTAGAGAGGGTCTCTTTTTGAATTTCAAAATCCAATTGACATGATCATAAGGTGAAAAGGGAAATAAAACTATTGCAAGAATTTCCCCCTAGGCTCTGGGAACTTGTGATTCACATGTTAATGACTAAACAATCTGTCAATGAATTGCCAAAGAGATTAAACATTAACTGTCGGTAAGTCACAATTAGTCGTATTCCTAGACAATGGATGTGAGATCATCTCTTTGGTTACGTCTCTCAGGTTTGAGATGTAACATTCACAAAACACGAGCAGACAGTGGGATAAGATCCTCCAGGTGACTGTTGAAGAACGTCATTGAGGAGCCGCATTACATCTGCTGACACTAATCCCTTCTCCACATCCACAGCAGCATATCGAGGCTCCCTGCTGGTTTTGGAATCAGGCAAATGATTTTAAGACTCATGAAGAAAAAGCTGAAGTTGAGTGGCAGGCGGCTGCCTAATTTGTTTTTTCTTCAGTTTGAGCCAAAACCAGTTCAGGAGAATTCATATAACCTGATTATAAACAGCAATTTCCGACCCATATTTATATTATCATTTGATGCCAAATAAGGATCTTTATACGCTGTAGAATGACAACACCCAAAATATTTCAAATTCATCATAGTGCAGAAACTGCACTTGATAAAGTTTTGATAAGATTAGAATGTAGACTGTACTGTTTGGGCGCTATCACAGTTTCTGTTGTATTTGTTTTAAGACTTGCCTGAGTGGCAGAAACAAGAAATGTCTCCTGCAGATTTATAAATATCCCCTGTGGAGTTCCTCTTGGGTCTATTCTTGGCTCTTTAGTGATGCTCATCTACATGCTTTTCCATTTCTTTGCAGATGATACACAAGTCTACTTATCCATAAATCCAACCGACCTCACTCACTCAGACATTAGGTCTTGGATGTCCAGTAACATTTATATGCTAAACAATGATACAACACAAATGATGGTTCTGGCACCTTAAATCTCACAGGGATATTTTCAACTAGATCTTAGTTTCCCCGGGTTTGTAGTACAACCATGAGGCCAGAACTCTTGGATTCATCTTTTCTAAATATATCAATTAAATCATCACCATCAAGGCTCAAATTAAGAACATGGTCAATATTAGACTATTTATTTCATGCAGTGATGTAGTAATGCTCATTCCTGCTTGTGTGTCAGCCATCTACATCACTGTTACTCATTATTTGCCAGACTCCCTTAGAAATCTATCAACTGCCTCTAACTTGTACTGCAGCTAGGGTTCTCATAGGAGTCAGGACTGTCAAATGTGAGCATATTTTACCTTTTATTAGCCACATTTCACAGGTTAAACATGGTGTTCAGAATTGATTTTACAATTTTACAACTGGATTTCATATCACGGATCATCTCTCATTTTCTTAGATCAGCACAATGGCTGCTGCTCTCAGTCTCCAGGGCAAAGTTTGAGACAGAAGTAGAGCCTTTGTGAGGGCTCCTCAAATGTGGAATTACCTTCTCTCTTAAAACCCTTCTAAATATTAATTTTGTTTTCTCTCATTTATTTAACCATCTCTTCTATTTGTTTCCAGTTCTTGATTAGGCCTCAGGATGTATTATTACAGTGTTGTACGCATAAGACTCCATGTTCTCATCACCCAATGCAATGAAGTCTGGTTGAAATAGAAACATCTAATCTAGTATTTTGAAACTTGGGGGTAGGGTGAACCTTTGGTATGGATGTGAAGTAACATTGTGCCTTTTTTGTGTACAGGTGTTGCAGCCCTGGACTCTGAGGTATCGGGAAAGATCGGTCTGCGAGCCGTCATCTATTACTTCTCAACAACCATCATTGCAGTTATCCTCGGTGAGCTCAGTTAGGCGGTCAATCAAATGTTGTGATGTAAAAGTGGTTGATAATAGTGATAATATTTGTGTCAGTTCCTGCTCTGATCAGAAAACCACTTGTGCAGGAATTATTTTGGTGATGACGATCAAACCAGGAGTTTCCCAGACAGCTGATCACATTGACAGGGTCGGGACCACACCCAACGTCACCACGGTCGACACACTCCTGGACCTCATCAGGTGACCTCACTGTCACGAGACTGACTCCCAATGCACCCCCATCTCTCAACACAACCAATCGTACAAATGCACACATTTGAACAGTCCTTTTGTGTTCCATTTAGCTTAACACATAAAAAGTGATGGAATACTGTCTGGTTGTGAGAAGGATGTTAAAGAAGTGATTTGTTTGAAGTCTCACTAACTTTTTCACTTCCACACACACGCACATACACATATCTCTATCTAAGATATATATATATCTTTAACATTGTTTATTGCTTGTATTGTCTTTTACCTTTTGCCTTTTTTATTTGTAAACTAGCTTTGTGTTTTAAGTGTGCTGTTCTGTAACATTGGGGAATAATCCATAGTTCCCTCGGTGCATTCAATATCTTTAAAGTTTAGTGCAAATCTGACGAAACAAAACAGAAAGAAAACAAACAAACCAAGGAAATCGTAAGGCAACAATTATGAATATATCAAAAATAGTCATTAGAGAGCTATCTTCATTACAAAAAAGGTACAAAACTTTTGTCCTGCACCAGTGAGAGGGACATACTGTATTTTTCAGCTCCTCTGCTGATCTCACAGTTTTGTATCCCAGCTGGGGAAATATTTTCGGACACACGGTCTGTGTGTATTCCACCATGTCGTACGACAGTTTAAATTTTTGGTTAATGAATTGCACTCAAAATACTAATATATAGCCATACAGTTATTGTAAAAAATAAATGGAAATGATTTGGTTTGTGCTAGAATATTTTGGCGCTATTATGATATGTGTATAATTAACATGATATCAATATTTTCTGTTCCAAATATCACAGTTCTCATTGACAACCCACTCAATGGAATGTCATCTTGAAACGATACATTCATTCTAATTGTTAGGTTTACATTGGAAGACATCAGAAAGTTGTATTTCATGTTGTGTTGGCTGATCTGACACATACTTTGTTTGTGGTATCCTGGGGCCTTTAATTCCAAAGTTATAAGGCTGAAATATTCAACCTTCAGTTTCTTGAATTAAAAGGTAATTTATTGTAAGCATGTACTTTCTGTTAACAAAATCCTGCCATCCCTTAGATAGACATCCGCAAATGACAGATGTCCTCCATCCACCGCCTCTGGATTCTGACTTGAATGAAGAGTCTTTATGAATATTTGAAGTATACATCGATACTAAAATCCTCCCTTTTCATTAACAGAAACATGTTTCCAGAAAATCTGGTGCAGGCTTGTTTTCAGCAGGTAATTCCTTCATCTGTATGTTTATAGTGCCTTTCAATAATGTCAGACTATACAATATGACACCATGTGGAAGTGAATCTAATATTGCAAAATGTGACCAATTACCAGTACAAGACCAAACGCAAAGAGCTGGAACCTCCAAAAGTTTCACCTGACCCAACAAGTATTCCACCTCTCACAACTACGGTCATGGAGGCAGTAGAGGTGAGTGTTCACATTGCTCTCCTCTGTTCAAGAACAGCAGTCACTACCTTAATACAACTGATGAATTGTCTTGCTTGTCATTAAGCAAAGGAACATTTATGCCAGAGATCTCTAGTTTAAGAGTTTTGATCTTTACCTGACAACAGTATGTCCTCGTTGATCCATCAGTTCCGCATTATGTTTCTGCACCTGGCAACCAGCGTCTGCTCTAAATGCATCACAAGACCCAATAATGAGCCATAAGTACCCACGGGTCAGTGGGCTGAGAAAACATTTGCACAGCGTATCAATGGGTCTTTGGAATGAACTAATGTGGCTGTGAGAGCAGCTTCCTGTCTTGGCCAACTGAATGAATCCCCTCCTTGTTTCCTCTCTCTGCAGAATATCACCAAGAACTATAAAATCATTGGGGCATATTCGGACGGAATCAACGTGTTGGGGCTTATCGTGTTCTGTGTCGCCTTTGGCCTCGTCATTGGGAAGATGGGCGAAAAGGGGCGAATCCTCCTGGAATTTTTCGATGCACTGAATGAAGCAACTATGAAATTGGTCCACATAATTATGTGGTATGTGTAAAAGACTGAGGTATATAATGTGGTGCTTAAGGGAAGATTACATACAAGAGTGAAGTATCAAGGAAAACTCATGCAGTCCAGAAATGTATCAAATACACTGCAAGGCATTGTGTCCAAATTAGGTCGAGATTTAAATGATCACTTGGTCAAGAAATGTTCAAATACGTCGAATAATCCCAAAAATATCTGTCTGTCTTTTTGTGCGATTTGGACACTTCATAAATTAAAATCTTTTGATAAAAAGGCAAGCAGCACTCTTCAGCAGTGGCTAGCGAATTCACGACAATGACAACTACAAGTCATTCTCCAGTTTGTGGTTCTCTGAGTCGAGTTTTACAGAATTTTGTGTGAACGGGTGAACAGATCTTTGAGCAGCAGCAGTGGTGCAGCTTCATGCTTTTGTGGACAGAGTCCAGCATCGGGTCTTTATTTGCCACAGCTCAATTACTGCAGGAGACTTTTAGAGTTTCAGAGAGAAAGCTGCAACCAGCATCACTACAGGCCATGTCAGTTTTTTAGCAAACAGACATTTTCAAATTGAAAACCCAAATAAATGTAACAATTATATCATAGAAGATATAGAATAAAAAGAAAGTTTTCAAATTTTTAAAGCTCGAACCACTGAATATATGGGACTTAGATTTTTTTTTAATTAAAAGTCCAGTGCGTCGGATTCAGAGAGATCCATAAGCAGAAAATTGACTGTAATAATTGAAGTGATGTTTTCATGGCTGTATAATAAGGTGAAACTGAGAATCATTGTGTTTTCATGTCCTTAAATGAGCGGGTCCTCCTCCATGCAGTCCGCCATGTTGCATTTCTACAGTAGCCCAGAATAGAAAACTAAACCCTCACTCTATAGAGGCCCTTTAACTTTTGTTATGGTACATAAGGAGAAGGCAGCCACAGGAGGAAGTTAAGGGTAATTTGTCCGAAACACGTAACCTCATTTCCAGATCCCAGGGAATAGTACGCATTGTGCCTTTAAATCAATCAAAAATAGTTGCAGATCATTCTACAGAGTTCAAACTACAGTACCTTTTGATTTTTTTTCAGCTACATGCCAGTAGGGATCCTGTTCCTAATTGCTGCTAAGATCATTGAGGTGGAAGATTGGGAGATCTTCAGGAAGATGGGTCTTTACATGGTGACCGTGCTGAGTGGGTAAGTTGTCCCATTACTCCGCCTGTTCCACACACTGGGATTTACGGTTGACATTTGGGCCGATTCTCCCCCACGTGATACAGTAAAAGATGAGCTCTGTGTGGGCGCTGATAAGGGACAAGGACATTTAAAACTGCTCAGCCTGCAGATGCAGTAATGAAAGCTATGCCCACACCTCTAAATCTCTAAAGTGACACCAGTAAAGAGTGCACTAAAAATCCCCTTCGGATGGGTCACAGGGTTAGTCCAAGGCTTTGAATGGCTGTGATGACATCAGGTTTATATTTTCACGGTTTATCATTATGAATGCAAAAAATCTTTTCAGATCTGCCTTTTAATATCATCCATTAATATAATCTAAAAAGGAGTTAGTTCAGTCAATTAACATTTTACATTTTTACCCCATTAAGTCGGGACCTTTAGATTTTCCAGCATATATTATCTGGCGACTTCTATAACCTGTGATCAGACACATTATTAAGAGTTGTGAGAAAAGTGTGTTTAAGTCACTAATCAGCAACAGAAAGTGATCATATCTCTGAATACCAAAACCTTTCAAGCACTGCACTCAACAATTTTTAGTGTGTATCCTGTAACAATGATTTAAATTTGTACCAAACAGCATGTAACATGTCAACAGATCATTTTTTAAAAGATATCTTTGTAATGAGCACATCTCAAGTGCAGTTGCATTAATCGAAGTCAACATAAACCTCTGATAACCTTATTAAAAGCTCAATCTATCTATATAGCTTTCTGTCTATCCACCCATCACTCCCTCTCTCCCTCCATTATCATCAATCAATCAATCAATCTGTCTATCTATCTATTATCTATGGTTAGTAATTTAAATGATATGGAGAGTGAACAGTGACAGTCTCATGTTAATGTGCTTCTGCCCCACAGTCTAGCTATCCACGCTCTCCTCTGTCTTCCCCTCATCTACTTTGTCATCGTGAGGAAGAACCCGTACACGTTCACACTGGGAATGGCTCAGGCCCTGGTGACAGCGCTCATGATCTCCTCAAGGTCAGACTCCTCCAAGCTCCTCATTGTGCCAAATCGTATCCCACATATTTCAACACCAGCGTTACTCATGCATGAATAGCCTTACATATGAATAGTTATGTACTTGGACACAGTGTGACCATAGGCACCCCACAAGCCATAAGGTCACAGTAACAAATCCAACTGGGTTTACTGAATGTTTTCCAGCTCTGCCACTCTACCCGTCACCTTCCGATGTGCCGAGGAGAACAATCGCATCGACAAGCGAATCACGCGCTTCGTCCTCCCGGTGGGGGCCACCATTAACATGGACGGCACGGCGCTCTACGAGGCGGTGGCTGCCATCTTCATCGCCCAACTGAATGACTATGCTCTGGATGTGGGCCAGATCGTTACCATCAGGTACCGTTTGGTTACTCAGAGGCGTTTATAGCCACAGGGGTTTCATACAGCTGATATCTATCTCACACCATGACTTTGACAGGAAACAAGACAAGATCAAAATCCAATATTTGACCGGACTCTGAATTGTCTATTGTGGACATTTCCCAGCTGCATACATTTATACTTGTTATTTATATTTATATAATTAGCTTTTATTTATTCTGTTGTTGTAATTTTCTATCTGAATTTCTTGCGTCCTCTTCTTGTTGAACTTTTAGGCCACCAATGAAAAAATATTCTCTGATATCTTTTAAGTCATTAACAAAACTATTTGTGACATAGTGTCGTTTTTTTTCCAGTATCACAGCAACGGTTGCCAGTATCGGAGCAGCAGGAGTCCCTAACGCTGGCCTTGTCACCATGGTGATAGTCTTAACAGCTGTAGGTTTACCCGCAAGTGATGTCACACTGATTGTGGCTGTGGATTGGCTCCTGTAAGTTTATCTGCTGTCCCTTAATCTTATTCTACCTTTGCAAGTTTATATTCAAACAAGAGCCATGCTGTAGATTTATTCTGGTGGTGTGTTTCAGGGATCGGTTCCGTACTATGATCAACGTGCTGGGTGACGCTTACGGGGCCGGTATCGTCCAGAAACTATCCAAGAGGGAACTGGAGAGGATGGATCTGTCATCAGACGTGGATGTCGCTAACCCCTTTGCTCTGGAAGCCACTCTGGATGACGAAGAGTGCGAGAAGAAATCCTACGTGAACGGAGGCTTCACAGTCGACAAGACAGATGCAATCTCCTTCACTGAAACCTCCCAGTTTTAGCCTCTGGCTGGCTCAGGGGGCCAGAGAGAGTGGCATGCTGCACGGGATGTAAAGCAGAGAGCTTTCCATCATGTATCAGCACCATGACGCGAGAGGAAAACGATCCAGCCAGACCCATCCAAGCTCAGACATCAGCAATAGCAGCCTCCATTAAGATTATCTGAGAGGATCACCCTTCACGTTGGGCAACCATGACTAGATTAAAGTGCTTCCCTCTAACTCAAAGTGTGCCAAGATTAAGAAAAGTCAGTCTTCTTTTGAACAAGTGTCTCCTTCATACAAAGATGCACTTACAGTGTGTGTGTGTGTGTGTGTGTGTGTGTGAATGTTTGTGTGTGTGCATGAGGATGTATCTGAGGTGTGTGTATTACAACAAATATATAAAATTCATTCATGTACTTTTTTGCTCCTTGATCAGACATGAATTGTCTAAAATGTCTGAATGATCTTCGCGTGCCTATTGTGAAATGTCTATTACCCATGATGCACTGCTTGTATAGCTATCTGTATATTTAAACTGTGCCAAACATATAAAGAGTTTTTACATCGAGTTGCATGAGGCAATATGTTAAGAAATGGGGGTGGCTGGTGCGGACTGGTTTTTTTATGGAGACTTCACAGAGACTGGAGATGGTCAACAAAAGGCTTATGAAGTCAATGAACACTGTGAAACTTTTTATTTCAGAACCAAATCGCTAAAGTATGTTGATTAATTACAAAATATAATAATAATAAATATTGTATTCAGGCATTGGGGGGGAAACCTATTGGATACAGCTGATTGTAACCAGACATTTTTCTTTGTCAGCTCATGGATTTATATGTCATTAATCCGATTGGCAAAGTTTGTCATTCTATGTTCCTTTAGAAAATGTCGCTACTTCATTTTGACAAAGTTGTGGGACTGAAATATGTTCAGATGCTACAGCAGCTCTGCTATCACATAGATGCATGACAAGCTTTCATCTGTCAAACAAAATGTAGATGGTTATAAACATTTTTGGTGAATCAAGAGCAAAACCTTTGTGTACATTTGATCAGCTAAGGAATAGGTTGACAACATAACTTTTTTTTTTTTTGCCCCAGAGTGAGCCGGGATGATCAGTAGCACTCTCATGTCTGTACATTAAGTACAGACAGCGACAGACGACAAAAGAGAGACTAACAAAAACAACTAACGAGGGTTGGTAACTGCAGAGGGTGTATGGGGGTGAAACTATGTTGGAAGAATAAGATTTAGATATTGTGCTGACCATTATAACATTATATTTCAACTGGAATTCTGTCAATATTTAACTTTTTGAACAGGGGCATGTTTGACATGTTTAGAGAGCCAGTGGTTTAAAGTCTCTAATACCATGCTGGCTGTATGACACACATCTCTAAAAAGCCAGTAGCATTCTTGAACACATTGTTCAACAACAACATATCAAGCCAGTTGTGTTGTCACGTTTACACAAGTGCACGGTTTAATGCTCCCGACAGTTTCAACTGACACGGTGACTTCAAACATACATAGAAGAGAGAAGTATTATCTTACTGTATCCATAAGATAAATAAGCATAGCATTAGTTCAAGAGTTGTGAAACCTTGCGAGTGTGCACTAGAAGTACAACATGTGGACAAAAGAGTATTTATGTCATAATGACCATATGGAAGTACTCCCAGGTCCTGGTCTTGTTGTCCTGAAATAATTACATGGGGTTGTTGCCAAAATGGCTGCCGGGTGGCAAGACTTTCTTATCAGGAGTTTAGAATGGAGGATATTTCCCGAATTGTATTCCAAAAATGGCAAATTAGTGAACCAAGTCCCACGGTCTCGGAAACTCAAACCTTGTCTGTTTTCAGAAGATAAGAGATAAAATGATGGAGTTTGAGGTTTACTGTGATTCCACATGACTAGAACCTTAGAACCTACTCCGGCATTCATGTTTCGAAAAGGTCCAAAACAATTTTGTGCAAAATCCATTACTATTACTTAATCCCAGTTTGTCCCTACTCTGCCAAAGGGGCCACATTTGAAATGAAACATGGGTGAACGAAGATGTTTACTTGTCTTAACACTGATCGGAGATGAAGCGTGTATAAACGTTGCAAGTCAGGTTGGGTCATATTTTTCAAAAGCACACTATGATGGCAACAACATAACCCGTGTCGATACAAACAACTACTTGATTACCTACAGTATGTGAAACAACATGCACTACACAATGACTAACTGCAAGCTAATAAAAGAAAGCTAATCATTTTTGGTGTGATTTTGTTGTCTACACATCTTCACCTATGATTAAAATAATGGATCTGCGAATTGTTTCATGTAGAACCATTTCACACTACAGCACTTCAACCTGTATTTTCTTGGTAAAATTTCAAGAGAATGAAGTTGTAACATTACAATCGCAAAGTCAAGATATTAGAAGAATGATGTTTTAATTTAATTAGAATAAAGTCATGCCATTGAAAGAATAAAGTCTGAGGCTGCAAAAACAGAAACTCACTGCGATTAGCGAAAAAGTTCAATGCTTCCATAACCACTGACGAGTATAGCAGACTTCAATAACTTCACATCACACTGAACTGCAGCCAGGTTCATCACTTTTTTGGTCCCCTGGAAACATTCCCTCTGTCGTTTTTGCTATTTGCAGCACGTTTCTGTATTTGTATGTGTCGTGACTTTTTGCAGCGCATGTGTTGCCGAATAGATGAAGTTGTTTTCCTTATTTGCACTGAGCTCTCTCCCACCGTACTGTTCTGACGTCAGATGGTGTAAATCCATAGAGTTGACAAAGTTTGTCCTTGATGCCTATTCTTCTGACTCCATGTCCTGATATGAACACTGCACTGTGGGCCTCCTTTTTTTTCCCTTCTCAGCAGCATCCTTAAAAAAGGTGCTCCTTGAAATAGACCCTTGCTATAGCCTTCTATCACCCACCACCTTCACTGTCTTTGCAGTTAAGCTGCCCCTGCTAGTTTTTAACATTATTTATAGCATTCTTCAAAGACTTCTGTTGAAACTGACCAACCAAACCACTAAAAGGACTCTGCACTGCCACATGACATGCAGCCGTTCTGCAGTAGATCACAATGTTCCTGATGGGGCCGGTGCTTAATGCCTCACAGTCATAGTGAGCAGCTATTTCTCTGATATATGACAGTAGTTCACACAGTGCTGCATCGCCATAGACACAATTTGCTTTTAATAGCCTTTGGGTGATTTATCTGAGGGCTAGACAATATCAGCTTGATAGATTAACGATATAGAGACGTGTGACGTCAAACCTATTCTGCCGCCTCCAGGCCACGTTCAAACTGAGACGTAAGAATTTAATTTCACCGGCAGGGTGGTCGTTGTTGAGGAATTTTTGTATATCCTCACACATTACTGTACACACTACTGCCACTATATACTGTATTATGTATAGTGTATATTACAATATATCTGTACACCATTAAACGAGGAGTGCCTGTCTAATTCCACAGATACTCCCTTCTCTCTCTAAGAAGTACTCGAGGTCAGGTTATAGATAAAGGACCAAGTAATAGCACACTGTGGTGTCTACACTTATAGACTTTCATATCTAACTCAGATGACAGAGAGGCACCAACTTCAACTCCTTTGTGCATTACACCAGTGGCAAGACGTGAGGACACAATGTGATTTATTCATGCATATTTAGACACCTACATGTTGCATAGAGAGTGACAGAAATTCCAGCCATTCATGGATGTGCTGTTAGAATGGGTGACAAGTAGAGGAAGATATACTGGGATGCTGTGGGAGACATCTTTGGACTCTGTTAGCGTTTGTATATTGTTCTTCTGGTCTCCTTGATGCATCAAGTCAACATTCAAATCTTCTGCATAAGACATCAGCCGCTGCCTGAGTCCTCCTCTCACCAGCTTCCAGGAAACTTCCGTAACAGTCGTCTCTTTCTATGCACGAGAAGAGAAATGCAGACGTCTCGCATCACACACATAAACAAGACAGCGGAATTTGCTGTTGCTTTTGCTGCTACGGCGCTTTGCAAAGATTTCCCTAACCTGTCATCGATAGTGCAGTGGGTGCAAGTTCAGAAGAAACAAGGAATAAAGGGGTGATGAGTGACTTAGCTGTGAGTTTGTTGTAGCCCTCTAAATGATTAATGCACCTCAAAGTTAAAATACACATTTAGTGTATTGACTTAAAACAAATCATCAATATAAATTACATCGAAATAACTTTGGAAAACAGTCTCTGAAAATGCTTCATCATGTTTTACTAAGTATTTCATAGTCCAAACAACTGCATTACAACATAAAATATGAAATATTTTTCGGACAATGTAACAGGTTCCCATTTAAACCAATTCAGAGTACACATGAAAACATGGGGAGAGAAAGACATTGGTCTGACGTGCAGCAGTGGTTTCAAATTATTAGGACACCCCAAGGGAGCAGCATATTTTTAATTCAAAGTCGTTCAAACTCGGCAGCTCCACCACCTCCCTCACCTCTCCTGAGCCTGGCCACATCATCAGGGTGGACCTGGAGAGATGGACCTTCTGGCCAAAACCTGGTCTACCTCAGAGACTGTGGCCCCCTGAAATAGAAAAGAAGAATATATGTGTTGCTATGTGCATTCCTAGAGACATACATGTGGCAAAGTTGTGCTCTTACTGAAACACATTCAAATTCAGAAATAAACTACAAAATGAAATATGCCAGTCTAAAAATATATATATATTCACACAGGTTATTACTGTAAGTTGTAAAATATATTTATTAATTTGTTATAATTATGTTAAGTTTCATCTAAAGTAGCTCAACAGTAATGGAAAACTTAATTTGGCATAATCCTTAGAATAATAAAGAATGATTGGTGAATAAACAGTATTTCTGGTGACTAGTACTGTGGAAAGTGTTAAGTTTGCAAATTAAAATGGGAGCACATCAGACAATTTATGAGGATTAAAATAATAAAATATTAAATGTCCAAAGTGATTCCTATTTAGGTAAACTACATGCAATAAGACCCCACTACAATGAGGTGCGGCTGGTAAGGGGAGAAATAGAATGGCCTGCTGAAAAAGTATTTTACAGACTGAGACACATAAGCCGTTTTCAGACATGAACTCAAGAAAATGTCCGCACAATTGGGTCCGGACTTTCACACAATGCAGCAGGAGATTCTCTGCAGAAACGAAACAACAACACAGAAATCTCCGGAGCCTTCAGGTAACGGGGGAGGCAAGCAGGTAGGACGTAACAAATTAATTCCATTGTGGAGACCACGTGTTTTCCTTTACAGAACTTCGAACTTCCTTTTTTTCAGTTTTGAATATGCAACGTTAGTCGGACATTCTCTGGTTCTCACATACAGCCCCTCTGCAGAATGTCTGGAGACTCTCCAGAGTTCTGTGCATGTCTGAAAGCAGCTATACTGATGCTTGTCATTACTTACGCAGAGAAGTCGGCTTACAGCTTTTGGCGTCGTAAGGAGTCCTCGAACACGCTCGTGGACTTCTTCCCATTCTCTGTGAGAACTGGACGGAGACCTGAACAGCCACAGTCAGGAAATGTGCAACTGAATGACACTTCTTAGAAGCCATCATGAAAAATGAACATCTCAGTGTCATCTTCATGGGCTTGTATGTTTCTTAGGGTGTTCAGAATGACAGAAACATTCACAAAATATGAAAATAAGACAAGTTATTCCTGCAAGCTAATGCATACTAACTACTTCAATGACAGATTAAATTACCTTTTCAAGAAAGGAGGAAGACGGTCATCATGAAGGTCTTGTGTTTCTGAGCTGGAGTCGTCTTCAGATGTCTCTTCAACCTACAAAAAGAAGCAGGAAGTAGTCGCAACCTTCCTTTGTATTGTTGAGATAACTATACCTCACTGACACATCCGAAACTCCACGATTCATTCATCAATTTCAACTATGAATACTGGTCTCATTGCAAGAGGCTTATGCAGATCCCAGGGTGACCCAGAGCCTAGCTTGTTGTTTGATGCTCATGACCACGGAGTAAATCTAATATCTCTTTCTTTTCAAAACGGAGAAAATGATGTTCCTACCAAACCATTGGATTTTCTTCTGCCAGTTGGAGAGAATCTCACTAAAACAACAGAAAGGAAAAACACTGAATCACTTGTTTACAGCACAACAGCGGACTATAAATATGTTGTAATCAAACTATCACATTTTTACTGTGGAACTAAAGCAGTATAAGTTAGACAGTAGATTTTATAGGCAGTTATGGAAAGCTGTTTTGAGACCTACTTTAGTAGCAATGACACAGGTTTATATGAGGATGTCTACCTGTTGATGAAGACCTGACCAAAGGTGAAGAGGAGTTGGTCAACACTGCAGAAACATGGGGTGAGTCCCATCGACCGGCTCCAGGCCACGAAGCCAGCATCTACACAGTGAGGACATGTACACAGGATTCAGAAAATATCCAGTATTCACCCTCAATATTTTTTACTGTGTTATAGATTCAATTTTAAATCTACACTCGTTAACCATAGAGACAAAGTGTAAGCATTGACCTTTCGGAAGCATTTACCACATCAAGTCTTCTTGCAAATCCACCCAAGCTCTATCAGATTTTATGGGGAAGTATCTTTGAGCTGACAACTCGAGGTAGCTTAACAGATGTTCCGGTGTCATAAACGCTATGGAGCAATGAATACCTGAATGTCGGAGGCTACTGCGAAGGCCTTGCTTCCATCAGGTTCTCTCATCTCTCCACAGAACTTCTGAAGCTCTGTTTCACTGACCATTGGGTTCTTGGTCACCTCCCTAACTTTCTTCCCACACTTAACTCGAGGAGGAATCCAGCTTGTTTTAAATGAGTTGGTTCCACTTACTTTTGTGGTCACCATGCTCCTCTGAACACTGTAGAAGACACTAAGATCCTTTGGACTGGTTTCGTCCTGATGTGCCTTTCAAAACTACATCCAATCAATTCGATTTGTCAAAGATGGACTGAAATCTCTGTTTTTTTCTTTCTTTTTTTAATTATCAAAAGAGAAAATGTAAAAACATGTTTTCACTAGATCGAATAGTATTCCAAATTATATCTACGACACAATAAAGCATGAAACAGCGAAGGGGTCAGAATCCTTTCTTTGTTTTTATTGTGGAAAAAGGTGCCACTCCTCCTCTCACACAAAAAAACTGTTGAAACTTTGGCAAGAAGTAGAGTTTTCAGCCAGGAGACATCACATCAAGTGTGTGGGCCTTTAATTCAACCTCTACCTGCCAGCTAGTTGTGTCTCGGTCATTAACATCTTACTGTCCTTATCTGTGATTGTCTGGTTACTGAGGATATGGGTGATGGAACTGTCTCTTCTCTTGATAGTTATCTGGTCTTGTCCTCGGACTCCTGACATCCAATCTCTTATATTGTGTTTGTATCTGTCTTATCTTATCTGGATTAACCTCAGGGGACCATGGGTTAGATATAAACTCATAATGACATAATGACCCCTGTTTATGCATTCGTTGGTAATTAACTTTTAATGCCTGATGTAAACGAAATAACAAGCGAGGGCTCCCAGAATTGCACGAATACAGGTATCTGTGCTTTGCTTGCTGATTTATTTTTCTGATGACATTTTATTTCTGCTCTACATTTTCCCACAAATACATGAACTTTTGAAAACAGCCTTGTTACTTTAACGCAATCAAAAAGAAGGATCCGTTTCCTTTTCGGTTTGCATCCTTGAGCACTGCCGTCCCAACATCAAGACAGATTTCAAGCTAAATGGTCAAAAGCGCAGAAAATAGGATTCCCTGTTCCCTGTATATCTATCAGTGCATATCGCACACAGCACATGATGGGGACTCGATGTGTTCGTGACAAGGAGTCAACATGGAAAAAAGGATCTGATCTGATAATGAAGTAGAGCAACAAAACATTCGCGGACACTTTAAACAATATATTGTACACATTTCCTCCAGGATAGTTTTTAATACTTACAAATAATTTTTTTAGCTTGAACCTTTGTTTTTAGTGTGTAGCTTTTTATTTGATCTGAAGTAAGAGGGGCTCAAGTTCTATAGTCCCTGACGGATATTAATGTGAAATGAGTCTGTTTGCTTTGCACAGACAGAGCCGGTAGACGTGGGCTAGAAGTATTTGTACTTCTACTTGAGTAGATATGTGGGGCTTTTACCACCTCTGTCAGTTACTGACCACAAAGTGATTCAGAGTTATTCTGTGACACTGACTCTTAAAACCTCTCACCACCACAGGGCAGATATTAGATGAGAGCCCTTCTCTGCCATCTGCTGGCTGAGAAAGGGACTGTAAAGGTATAGTTCACCAAAAAGTGAAAATTCACTCATTATCTACTAACCACTATACCGATGGAGGGTTGACGATGAATCAGGTTTACTCACAGGTTGGGAGGTGGTGGCTGTGTCCACGTCGGTTGAGTTGGGAGCCACAGGGTCCAGGCTGAGGTGGGCCAGATGCTGGGTGTTTCTCTGCGGGGACTGGGATCTGGAAATGCGCGACGGCGACCTGGCTGTGCCGTGTCTCTCTCGGCCTGTCCTGCCACATCGTCTCATTGCAGAGGTTGGAGATTGGTTCCTCTGAGGAGAAGAGGTCCTGGGTCTGCTGGAGCGCTTCATGTTCCTCATTATCGCTGGCCTCTGGGAACAAGAGAGTGGTTGTTTCAAAAAGCCTGAATATAACACGAATGTTTACGGTTCTGAATATCCTCATTGCCTCTGTTTGTTCAAAAGCCTCAAGTTGAATTCAAGGACCTCTTCAATCAGAGTGAACTGTTGCTGTCTAAGGGTCTACTGCAAAAAAAAAGAAAAAGGTTAATGCAGCCGCTTCAGGGATGATGCAGCTTCATTTTGAGCCACATCATATCATCTTTACCATGAGCACATTGCGGGAAATGTTGATCTCAGAATCAGCTGAGCACTCAATGATGGTGGTTTTGGTGGAGAACTCCAACCTGGGAGCAATACCCTGAGGGGAAAACAGAACAGGGCAAACATTTGTTCCATCTTCGTGTGAAAACTGCAAAGATCACACGAAAGGTTTGTCATTACGTTTCATTTTTATAGCTCCCTGCTGCAGTGGACCTATTGTCCAGAATATATAATACTGACTGACAGAGACAGTTGGTCTTACTGCAGATAGACAGTACCACGTAGATTATGGAAACCATACAGATCATACTGTAACATATCTTCCCCGGAGTCTTTGTGCTTAATCGTCGCAGATCCAGGATTGCGGCTGTGGCCACATCGTGGATCATGATAGCGGTGGCCTCTGATCGTAGATTATGATCACAACTAAAATGCTTTGATATACAATATACATGACCCACACCCACTACCAATATTGATAATACCTCTATCATTACAATCGTCATCAGTAATATCATTTTCTCTCATATGTGACTGTGGAAAAATGTTAAACAAACAAAAAGGAAAAATATTTTGTTTCGGATAACGTTAGCATTACAGTGTTGATGATGTCAGAGATGGTAGCATTTATATATGCACTGGGGATTTATTCAGGTGAAAAGACTACATGTGCTGAACATGGAGAGCAATAATGTACAATTTCAAAAGGAGCTGGAGCCTACTGGAAAGTAAGGTGCTCGGGTCATCAGAACCTCTCGGTCCACTCCGGAGAAGGAAGGAACCAGTCTGGGCTCTGGGAATAAAAACCGTCGCGCATCTTCCTCGAAGCAGGCGAGAATGTCCCCCGCTGCAAACACACAACGGTAACACAACCACTTTGAGACATTCTTGCTGGGATCTGCTTTGACCTGCAGTGAACGATGAATACCCACGGTTTAAAAAAAAGAAAGAAAAGAAACAGTCTCACCAGGAGGGGCCAACTGCACCAGTTCAACTCTGACCGTCTCGTCTGAGAAGAGGACACGGCAAGGTGTGAGAAATCGACCGTATCATCACAAAAAGGCACATCTCAAATGCACAGGTGCGTAGGAGGAGGGAGAGCGGGTCGCCGACTGACCAATAGGTTGGCGGTTCGAACCCCCCCACTCCACATGCTGAAGTGTCCTTTGGCATGATACTGAAATGAACGTATTGTATAAATAATGTAGTATAATATATAATGTATACTTGTACATATAAAGTCGCTTTGGATAAAAGCTGAATTAAATGTAATGTGTGTATGAATTGGAGGAAGACAAAAGTGTTGGTGTGGTGATAAATACTAGATCTATATAAATACAGATCATTTCGACCGTTTACAGTGAGGATATTTAGGATTCGATTCTCAAATGCGCAAGACAAAGAAAACCTAAAAATATATTTTAAATGTAGCACAAAACGTGCTGCAGATAGTGAAATGTGTTACCCTTGAATTTGATTGTGAGAAAATACAGACATGGAAAAAATTAATATATAAATTAAATAAATAAAAGATTACAAATCTTATAGTTAGTTACTAAGAATGGTTGTGCTATTGCTATTAAAGCAGCTTAGTGCACTCGTATTTATAATTTTAATTTCAAATGTAGTTATTTTATGGTATGTTTTTTAGGTTTTTTGGTTTGTTTCCAAAAAACAATAATAATAATAAATATAATAATTCTAATTATGATTATCAACTGAAACTCCGTTCACAGAGGAAGACCATGCAATTTGAGTTAAGATCATCTCATCAAACCTTTTATCTTGTCGCAACAGACTGGGCAACGTCTGCACAGCTACAATAAATACTGTAAATAAATAACCGTACAATAAATATCAAATTGTTTGAACAAAGTGCCCCCAAAAAAAGAGACAGCCTGAATAATGTAGCATGGAGAAGTAAAATATGATCAGTCAACCAAATCAGTCTAATGCATGTTTTAATAATGACTCCAGACGGTAAAATACAACTTACACTCAAGCATTACAGCGATGTCTCCGGGGTCCACTGCATGTCTGAAGATCTGGACAATGTTTACACAGCTATATGTAGTCATTCATTACAAGCATGTAACAAAGGATATGTATAGAAAATGACTAAATAGAGAATAACTCCATCTAAGTCGTCACTGATTTATAAATAAAAAAATGCAACAACCCATTTGATGTATAGTGTTTCAGATGTGTAACGACTTGCCTTCTCAAAGGTCATCTTCTCATGAAACAGCAGAGGGAAGACGGCAGGGAGACACTCAGACTGACGGTCGTGGCCCATGAAACACACGCTGAGGTAGATGTCATCTTTGGCTGGCAGATGAACCCCAGGACAGGAAACCTGTTTAATTAAAGAACGTTATCAGCCAATTTCTTCTGGCTGCCAATGAAAACGAGCAAGATATCATGCTGCTTTAGCTCCACTGCAGAGGCTGATTGAGTTACACCAGCAGATTCACCTGAATGCACCTGCCAAGGAGGCCATTTGGTAGAAGGAAGTGGTAAGGGTAAAAAAAAAAAAAGAAGGCCATTACATTTTGATGCTGATCTGGATCAGGGGGCAGATTCAGATTTGTTTTCTTACCGTAGCAACTTGAGATAAATTGTTTCTCAACATTTTCCTTGATTCCTCCGAGAATAATTCATGGATATAACTGAAAGAAAGTCCCCATGTTGAGAGGACGGATATTTATGTGTGCAATTTTGTGTTCCACACTTGGAGATGACCATGCTGTCAGACACTTATATTCTCTACTACACAAACTAGCTCCATAATTCTGTTTCAAGAACAGTGCTGTTTCATCAACATAACTCAACAACTGAAGACGCCAAACTTTTTACTTGCTTTTATACATAAAAAGGGGAAAACTTAAATTTCAAAGAATTCAGTTTTTAGGATTTTTCTCAGGAATTTTGTCCAATAGGTCTCAATCCTTTGGAACACAATCACGTTAAGCAGCCATCAAGTGCATATTTAAGAGCCTTTTAAAACCAGTCAGCTCTATAGCTGACTGGACATCTTTCTACAGAGCCCATGATAACTATCTTGTACACAGGAGATATTTATTTTAAGTAGATGTTTGTGTTTTAATCACTCAGATGTACACAGCCACCAGATTTGTACTTTAGCATGGAGAAAACTCAGCAAATCAACTTTCATTTTCACAATGTCATGCACCAAAGTTCTTGTTGCTTTTGCACAGAGACGCAGGGTTGTCAGGAATCATTTGCTGTGCATGTCGAAAGGCCGAAGGCTCAGCTGACGAGAGGACTATATGTTTCAATCACAATACTTGAGAAATTCAGAAAATTAAAAGCTACAAACGCAAACTTCGTGTTGTCTTCAAAGCATCGGCCAGTCATGACTTTACCACACAGGTGTTAACTCTGTGTGCACAACTTATTTATCTTGTTCCCTCAACATAAGAACAATATATAATCTGGGATTCCAGATCTCGTACACATATAAAATATCAACATATCAAAATTTCCTCCAGGTATAAATGTAATTGTTCCCAATCATTATTGATCAGAGTATTTAGAAAATGATCAGACATATAAAAATAAAAAAACAACATTGATCAGGTATTCTGAGGTCAGACTGCACCTCTTTCTTCAGGTGGAGCTTGAACTAATGTGATTAGCAACAATCTATCATGGATATTCATATAACATAACATATAAACAGTTTAGAGGTTATTGATCGCTCAGCTGGTTGAATAGGGCTGAGTTAGTGTGTCCAATGGCGGTGATCTGACATTATACAGTGAAATCCAAAACATTTGACAACTATTCGCTGCATGAGATGTATGCCGAATTGTGGAGTGACGCTTAAAGTGTCACACACAGCTGCCAGTCCGGCTTTAGTAACAAGGTGCGCTTGATAATTAAAGATCGAATTAAAAAGTGACAACGATTGGAATGAGGACTGGGGCTTGTCGCGCAGGTCTCTCGACATAACGCCATTAAAGTTACAGCAGGAGCAGTAGATGAAGAATAGATGAGGAATAAAAGAATAAAAGAGGAGTCTTACCGCTCTGAACTTTAATTCAACCACCACTTTCAGAGCTTTTCGGGACATAGGAGCTTCCGGTCTGAGCCACGGCTTCTCTTGTCCGGTTTGGCGTCTCCTCACCTTGTTACCATGGATACTTTCACTTCCGGGTCTCTCCTGCCCATTAATAAATATCTTCTGGCGTTTTGTGTCATATTCATATAGTATATTTATGATGGATGGATTCAATCAAGGTATTGCACATAGCATCATTCATTTCAGATACTATACCTGCATATAAACTTGTATATATATATATATATATATATATATATATATATATACACAAATACAGTGATCCTTGTAGAACCATCCTGTGCAATTTCCTCAATTGCATTTCTCTACTATCAATATTTGTTTGGTGAAAGGTGTATATTATGTATACATTCTCTGTATTTTCATTTAATTTCTCATTCGCTTGTCTAACTCATTCTGACCGTCCGCTGCCGTAACAAGTGAATTTCCCCAGCGTAGGAACAAATAAAGTTTTATCTTATTCTGTCGGGATATAGAATACTATACTGTCAAACATTCCAGGAATCATGACGAGTGACACAAGAGGTCGTGTGAATTACTTTGTCTTGTATTAAATCTTTTCTTTGGAAATGTTCCATTTGGCACAGGTGTGGCAGCTCAAAAAATAAAACTTTATTAAAACGTATGCTCTTGAATGTGATAGCAATGCTTTCTGCCAGAAATTACACCATAACTGAAAATGTCAACGGTTCAATTAACTTGAACAGTGAAATTGGCAGTTGGAACAAAATAACATTTTAAATAAATATTCAGTAAAAACAAAAAAAAAAGTATTCTGAAATTGTAAAGTCAGAAAGTTTCAAATATAAATCCAACCACTTTCATTTGCCTCTTCCTATTCAACGTTAGAACCCCTTTGAAATTGTCTATTTAGGCAAAGTGTTAGGTTCTTGTCTCAGTTTGCTCTGGTGTGTCGGGGTCAGGCTCTGAGCCTGAATCTTCCTCCTCTTTTTCCTGAGCAGTCGCTCCGTCCTGGTCGACGGCCACAGCTCCTTTCCTCTGAGGCAGGACGGTGAAAAAGGCCTCCTGCCAGCTGTGCTTCTCCAGATAGGCCAAGATAATCTCAAACACTGCGAGAGGAATGAAAAAAGCATGAACTATACAACAGCCAGAGCTTTGACTGTCTGCTGACCACTGACGGCTGCTTCACCAGTCATTCTTCTGTTCCAGCATTGCATGTATGCCATCTATAATAATCAAAGTTATTACTCTTATTTGCAGATCTTATGAGTTTTAGGTAGCTCCATGATTTAGTAATATACAATTAAATGCCACCGACAGAATAATGCCAATTATGATGCAAAAAAATGATGCTAACATGTCTCGTGACGAGGCTCGAGGAGGTAAAGCGGGTCAATCCAAGTCTCTGTGCGTGCGTGAATAGGTGAATGACAAAAACTGTAAAGAGCTTTGAGTGGTCATCCAGACTTTCTCCGCGTTAACACCTTCATCTGCGTCTTCTACGTGTGTTTATTCTCTTTCATCATTCAGATATTCATTTTTTCTTCTCACATACAGCCCCTCCGGATGATGTCTGGAGATTATACATACATACATATAAGACTCAAGTTTATTTCACCTTGAAATGAAAACCTTTAATCAATTATGACTAAAACTGGTCTTTGACAATTTGTGCAGTGGCTATAACGACTCATATGAGTCGTGTGTATTGGTCTGGTGTATGTACTCACCATGGTTGACTGCCAGAACCTTCCTACTGTTCATCTTGACAAAGCTGCTTAAAGGAAGCTGAGCGTGATCGATCCCCAGCTCTTTCGCCCTCTCAAAGGTTATGCCCTGCAAACGATGCGCGGACAGAAAACCAACCAGGTCAAATCGAGAAGCAGCACATGATGAACCAGAGGGGACCATGTCTCCAAAAACTACTCAGCTTCGCATGTTTCAAAAACCAGCGGCACTGAAGTCACACAAACCTTATGATGGTTGTGGTCCACCAGGCCTCCGATCACGTAGGCTTTTTTTTGGTCCAGTTCCTCCAGCACATTGGGAGAGTCTGACGTCAGGTACACCAGATCTCCCTTAGCCACAACTTCACTGTAGTGCTCAGTTTTAATGGTTATGTCCTGAACACAGATGCACAGGGAGACACTTACGCACGTGATGCCAACAAATGTCTTTATGAAAGAAAAGCCAGACTGCACAGACGGAAAAGAAATATGCTTAGTGGTAAAACTAAAATCAAGGTCCCTTTTACCTTGGAGGCTAAAGCGAATGATTATTTTAAATACCGTCATTATTATTTTCCTAATTAATCCTTTACTCACTAAAGCATCATATAGTATGGACATCACAATATCCTAGAGAACAAAATTATTTCCCTTACGTTGAAAATTAAAAGAAAATCCTAGGGGAAACACTTCCTGTCTTATTTTGTGTGACCAACAGTCCAAAAGCTGGAGCTATCTAAATGTTGAAGCTCTTTTGCTTGGAAATTGATTTAATAGGGATTTTATTTAATTGTGACCAACCGTTAGTTGGTCCAGATCTGCTTACCTTCCAGTTTACCCATCCTTTGTCCTTTTCATCCATGCTCTGTTTCAGCTGTCCCCCCAGGCTCGTCAGATAGAACTGGAGAAGCGAGAGCTGGGGTTACACGTCGGACAGGATTGTTTGTGTTGATGCATTGGCCAGTACTGGGCATCACTAACCTGTACTGGATGAACGGCTCGTCTGTTCTCAGCATAGCACCGCTGGATCTGTTTGTGAAGCTTCCGCACATCCTGAGAAGACAAGAACATTTGTGATCAGGGAGACTTGGTGCCTCACTTCATTTTATTTGAGTTGCAGTCAGAAAATAACCTTTCCGAAACACTATTCAGTGACCCAGATGGAAAACGTCACAAGGAATGATGTGAAGGATTTAGTTAGAGTACTATACTTACACTCTGTTTTTTATGTCAACAACTTTATTTATAAGATAATGTAGAGTATACTGTGCTGTGTGAGACAGTAACAGAATGACACATCCTAAGAAAATATTTTAACTTTATACAGACGGGACAATTAACCTTTATTTACTCACAGGAAGAAACAACGACAGTGATTTTTATTGAAAATAAAAACCAAACAGACAGATAAGACGATCGTGTGAGGATTTACATCAGTTCTAGAATAAAACCATAAAGAATTGTGGGAGGACACTTTCTCCCCTTCTTTCATTAAGGACGGTCCAATGTTTCAAACGCTGCAGGAGATAAGTTAGGAAGCACTGAGAGAATTCGTACGGCTATTGTCTGGGTCATTTCGCTCAGATAGGAAACTTCCAAAGTGAAATGGACTGTTCCATACGCTAGGTATCCATTGGCTCCTTCTCCCAGAGCTGCTTACCTTGATCAGCATGAGGCTATCGAAGCCGCAGTCCACCACCAGCCTCAGAGAGCTGGGCGTCACCTCTCTGCGGGGACGTTTTCTGGCACTCTGGGCATCATCCCCGTGTTCCTCCTCCTCACAATTCTGCCTCTGTATGCGACGCTGCTGTTTCCTCTCCTTCCGTCTCTGCCTGCAGTGGAAACAAGCCAGCTACTGCAATGTGGACCAGGACATGGCATTACACTGCAGAACCCCCACGTTGTAGTCAAACGTTCGAAAACACAAGTTGTTTTAGCAGAGATGAGTGAGAAGGCCTTGAATCCTTTTAAGTAACCGGCTTCTTTGAAATATTTACCCATTAACATTGAGTTGGATGATATGGCAAAAAGTTATGTCGAGATAATCATTTTCATATTAGTCAAAATCGATAATTAGAAATATTATATCGTTAAAGTTTGAAGACTGATTTTTGCCCCTGGGTGAAGTTTGTGGTTTGAGAATGAACACTGTATAAAAAGCTCAACATCTTACAACTGTGAGGTAGATTATAACACAAGTGTGAGTTACATAGCCTCACAATGTTTACACAATGCATAAGCAATAAATCCATAGATACTGACCCTCTATACTCCCCCTCGTCTTCTAAACCTGAAAGAGAAACTTTGGTATCCTTCAGTTGTCATACAAACTCAAAAGGTTTCTAGTTAGTCCAGTGTTTGCCACTGTAAAAAACATGGAGGGGACCCGCTCCTGATGTAAATATTAAGTATTTAAATATAAAGGGCTCATTCTAAGGTTTGATGATTATACATTAGTGAAAACATCACTAGGATTATTTAATATCCACCTTTGGCCAATAGATCCCTTTAACCTACATCTTCCACACTGGACTTTTAAAACTGTTTCTGTGCTTCTGCACAGTTTGTCAGGGTATCAGTGACCCGATCTTGTTTACAAGTCCTTCTGTGAGCCAAGGCAAAGTTAAACGGACACACGTTTGGGTGGAGCTCGGCACGGCTGAGGAGAACACGTGCTGTATTCGCAGATCAGGCGCCGAGACGCCCCCACTCACTTCCGCAGCTCCCTGTCCTCTTCCCACTTCTGCTGCTTCAGGAGCTTCTTCCTCTGCCGCTTGGACAGAGCCCGGCTCTCCGCTGCGGCGTCTCCATTCTCGCCGTGCTGCTGGGCTGAAGCCTCCCTCTCCTCACCGTCATCGGCCATGAGTGCAGAGCTGGCGGCTGCCCGCCTCACTGTCACGCCTTCCCGTCGGCTAGCTGCAGCCCGTTAGCTTGTTAGCTGCTGTTAGCCGTGGCTGCATTTAACAGCGAGCCTCGGTTTCCCACCGCTCTACTGCAGAGGCTGATCCGTGCAGAGCTTCTCCATCACCCGCACACCCAACTACAAAAATCACCCTCCCCCCCGGCACACGCACGCACACACACGAGGAAAACAACGTAAACACGCGACACAGCAGCTGATCCACATGCATGTACTGTGATGATGGCGCGTTTGTGACGTCATGTAACCGCGTCAGCTGAATTCAAATAAAATTTAAAGGTACAGTGTGTAAAAAAAGAAAGAAAAGGTGATATCTAGTGGTGAAATTGCATATTGAAGATATAAAACCTCCACAACAAACCAGATATCATTTTTAGTAAATGTATTTCTCTCTTTTCGATTTCTTTAAATGACAATGGAGGTGGGGTCGGTTTAAACTGGTCCAGGTGTCGCAGACTCTAGGCACAAGGAAACGAGATTATTATTATTATACACGATTATTTCACTTCCACTGTATTTGCCTCCATTGGTTGGTTTTAAAGTGAAATGGAACCCACCTAGACAAGTTCAGGTGTGCAGCAGCTGAAGGGGAGTCCTTTTAGCGTCTCTCCCTGGTTGTCTGTCCTAGTTAGGTCTGCACTATTTGGTCCAGTGGCTCCTGTCTCCTTGCAGAAGATCAACAATCCACTCCAAGATATTAGGCACTTTCACAATCCATAAAAAGATCCTGAGACTGGTGTTATGTCAACAGACATTAAAAAAATGCCAGGCCAGACCCAAGTACTTAAAACAAAGATATTCACATTCCTTTTCTTCCACAAGAACGCTACATGTTTGAGTTTTGGCAGCAATGTTTTCTTTCTGGGCGTCATCTGTAGAGGCACAGTTGATGCAACATCCTTCACATTATCTGATCAGTCAACACCAATTTCTACAGATAAACCTTCTACAGCTTAATCAGAAGTGCTGACCTGTACACTATTAATGCGTCTCCGTCTTATGAGACTCAGTCCGGCTTCTGACAGGTGGTTCCTTACCATGTGGTGCCATCAATCTATTCAACTCATTCTTGGAAAGAGAATTATTCCTCTAAAGGTCTTAGAATCTTTCGTCCAACCCCAGTTATTTTATCTGCATTAGTGTATTTTTGCTTACTTCAGCTTTAAATAAGCTAAAACTAAATTAGAAGGAAGACTATCTCGCTTGACAACTATGGACATGACCAGAACATGCATTGCTCTAACTGACCAGATGCCTGCCTCCTCCTCTGTCTCCGTAACAGTGTCAGAGGGCTTCTTCTGAGATCAGTGAGCTGAGAGGCAAGGTGATAAACAAACCCACAGGGGGCACTGTTTCCCCACCAACGATAAAGCCCTTCACCTACCAACACATTAACGGAGGAGCCAGCAGGCTGCCCTGATGAGGTTTATATATCATCAAGATACTGCTTTTAATGTCTTGAAAATGAGACAGGATGCTATAACCATAACATATAGAGTAATTTTGTGTGTGAAGATTCTAAGTCATCTAGGTCATGACTATCCAAGGCTCTGCTCATATCTGTGTGTTACATGTGTCCATTAACAACTATTATGTGTGGAGCAAGTAGCTTGTGAGGAAAAAGGTTGTGAAAGTTGAACAGCAGCGATTTATACTTCACTGTATAGCTGATTATACTGTATATGGTTGTTATGGAGGTTTTCTGGAAGCTAGTGAAAGGAGAACTCAGGTAGCAGCTGATGTCTTATGTAAAAGATTTTACCGTAGAATTGATGCATCAAGGAGACCAGAAGGTGAAACAATATACAGACGTCAACAGAGTAACCAGAGCAATTGGAGGTGACAATATATATCATATATCACATGACAAGATGAATCGTTCATTGTGATGAATCAGATGATGCTCGGCTGTGATAGAGGGAAGGAGGGAGGGGACCGAGGCTCGTTTTCCTCTCAGCATCGCTGGAGGAAGTGTTTGGAGAACGGGGCATCAGGACAGTCTTTGACCTCACTCTGGAATTAGACATATTTGTTCACTTTGCCTGAAACAAAAATACATTTATTAAAATAGACGACTGCAGCGTTATGATTTTGACTTTGTCCGAAGGTGTGAGTCAAGAGGTGGAGCCTTGTTACAGTGGCACAGAAAAAGAATCAAATAAAAGGCCACCGCACCAGAATCAGGCAGTTTGAAGGCTATGAGACAGTTTTTAGTTCTTCATGTTAGAAATGAAAACARAAAGAAGTAACTAGGAATATGGATAAAATATGGAGAAGAGACTATGTCGCCCACTCTTAGGCCTCTCTGAGACGTGTGTCGATCAAACTATCAAATGATTTCACGCCAACACAGTTGTTTTAACTGCAGGGCATATATAAAAGAAAATGTCTGTGCACCTTGCCAGCAGGGGAATCATTCCTCATACATAGAATATGTAAAAGAGTGGAGAGGTAGTCTCTTCACTCAGAGAACCAAGGTTACAATGTAACCGAGTGCTCTGTTTATTTTATGTTTCTGTACCTCGTGTTTTCTAATGAGCAGTGAATTATTATTCTTACATTGATTTTATTGTTTTCATGACCAAAGCTATCCAAATAAACATGATCATTTTAATTTGAAGGATTCAATAAATAGCCTAAAAAGCCTGCCCCTTGCAAATATGATGATCAATACTGCTGTGGCAAATTAATTTGTCCTCTATGTAAACATAATGTCACAGTTCACAGAGAAGGAAGATGCCAGTTAAAAGTTATATTCAGCTGGTCGTGTTTGTAGATATGAGTATGGTGACACATAGCGACCTCTGCTGGTCACTATTTCAATACATATGCTGAATGAAGCTATTTGTGTGCTGCTCAAGGTATTTTAGGTCAAAAAGAAAATAAAAGAACACATAAGCCATTTATTTATGTTGCATATACTCAGATTTATTGATGCATAATTAATTGACATTTTTTCACATCTACTCAATCTTACCAATCTATTTTCTATAAAACAGGGGTTTGCATGAAACCAAAACCAGGCCATTTTTAAAGGAGTTTTTTTTTAAATTTTGCTTTTTATTCTGACAACAAAAAATCTCTGTTTTTGTTTTCTCGTTTAAATCAAGAAAATGAACATCCCATGGGTTTTGCTTGTTTTTTTTGCTTTGGGTTTAAACTGAAATCTCAGATTATATGATGATTATATCAATCCCAGCATCAAACATGCAGCTGAACTGGATCAGTGGTGAAGACAAATACTCACACACACAAGTTGTGTGGTGAGCGAGCTGAGAGCTAAGAGCTGAAATCTCATTCACAAGGAGAATTAGTGAAGGAGTCTGAAACNCTCAGCCCCAGCATGTTGTGTGTTTCCTGATCTCACCCACAAACAGCAGCTCTACAGCAGCACTTCCTGGAAGAATTATTCCACTTCCTGAAAATGATGCAAAGGAGTCAACATGACAACACTTCTATATGTAGCGACCTCTGCTGGTCACTATTTCAATACATATGCTGAATGAAGCTACTTGTGTGCTGCTCAAGGTATTTTAGGTCAGAAAGAAAATAAAAGAACACATAAGCCATTTATTTATGTTGCATATACACAGATTTATTGATGCATAATTCATTGACATTTTTTCACATCTACTCAATCTCACCAATCTATTTTCTATAAAACAGGGGTTTGCATGAAACCAAAACCAGGTCATTTTTAAAAGAGTTTTTTTAAAACTGAAAGATGACTTCTCTCTGTTTTTTCGTTTAAATCAAGAAAATGAACATCCCATGGGTTTTGCTTGTTTTTTTAGCTTTGGGTTTAAACTGAAATCTCAGATTWTATGATGATTATATCAATCCCAGCATCAAACATGCAGCTGAACTGGATCAGTGGTGAAGACAAATACTCACACACACAAGTTGTGTGGTGAGCGAGCTGAGAGCTAAGAGCTGAAATCTCATTCACAAGGAGAATTAGTGAAGGAGTCTGAAACCAGACAAAGTAAKAATGRTCCAAAGTGTCAGTTTGTCTTGAAGAAACATCACAGAGCAGATTAATGAAGTGATAACATTCAAGTACATCACAAAACATTTCTAGTTTCTCTCACTGTAAAGAAACAATAGACAGAACAAACATCATCCAAATATTCATGAATGCATTCATGTTATAAGAATCTCTAATGACACAATAACTGTAAATCTAATGAAAGGATGTATTCTCTCTCTTTCACTAAAGGAAACACCATCCATGCACGCTGTAGCAGACAAATGGAAATCTTTCTTTACAGGAAAATAACCTCCATTTTCCTTCCTGCTGCAAATCTGCAACACCACATACGACTTTCATCGAGCCAAGTACGATGTCACCCTGATACCAGGAGCTGAATGAGTAGCCACTCCCGTCAGACCAGTAGATCTGAGGATCTCTGTACAAACCAATCCACACCCATTCTTCATGTTGCATCAAGTTATGTATCTTGTCTTTGTCAGCTTGGTTCCTCACAGTGACCAGATCTGTGTAGTGTTCTCTGCAGTGCCTCTGAGCCTCAGTCCAATTCTTTTTTGTATTCACTACCACAAAGTCAGAATCCTCTAATGTTCCTGCAGTTAAGTTAGAGAACAAAAGAGGGATTGTTGAGATCACAATGTTTTCAAAA